GGAGAATTGCCTGAACCCAGGAGGCGGAGGTTGCGGTGAGCCGAGATCGCGCCATTGCACTCCAGCCTGGGTAACATGAGTGAAACTCCGTCTCAAAAATAAATAAATAAATAAATAAATAAATGTCTACCAATTGAGAACTGTTTCTGTCAGTTACGGTATGTTCAGACAGTGGAATACTAGAAAGACTTCAGAATGATGTTAGTACTAATAGACATGAAAAGATGTCCGTTGGATATTATGCCCTTAAGGTCCTTGTGGTGCCATTAATGTAAAGTTAATGCAAGCATGGGCATGTGTGCACGTACGCACAGGGAGATCTAGAATGGCAGTTATCAAAACATCAACCCTTCCTGCTTGGAGGAGCTTTGAACGACTTTACTTTCTTCTTTTATAGTGTTCCTAAAATTTCAAACTTTATTTTTAACTTAATAGCTAACATTAGCAGAGTATATCTTATGTGCTAGTCACTGCTTTAGTTCCTGTACACTATTATTATTACTGAAGAAATCAAAGGTGATGAGAGATTAAGTAACTTACCTGAGATTCTCAGCTAGTAAATGATAGAGCTGGTATTCAAAACCTGATAGTGTTGCTTCATAGAGTGCACTCTTAAAAAAAAAAAAAAAATTTAGTCAGAGTCCTACTCTGTCACCCAGGCTGGAGTGCAGTGGTGCAATCTCGGCTTGCTACAACCTCTGCCTTCCAGGCTCAAGTGATCCTCCCACCTCAGCCTCCCAAGAAACTGGGACCACAGTATGCCACCATGCCCAGCTAATTTTTTTGTGTTTTTTGGTAGGGTCAGGGTTTCAACATGTTGCCCAGGCTGGTCTCGAACTGCTGAACTCAGGCAATCCACCCACCTGGGCCTCCCAAAGTGCTGGAATCACAGTCATGGGCCACCTCACCCAGCCTAACAGACTGCCCTCTTGCTACATTAATTAGTTTCAATAGAGTGAAAGTCTTAAATCCCACCCCAACAACAATCCTACTCCTCTACTCAAAGTAATCATTGTTTACCATTTGACATGGATCCCTCCAACACTTTTCTCTAGACACGTGTGCACGCACACACGTGTGTTTTTCTTTTTTATAAAATGGGATGGTAGTGTCCACCCTGTCAGTATGTAAGATCACTGTCATATTTTTTATTTATCTCTGGTGAATATTCCACAGCATGAACATACAGAATTGATGTAATCATACTTCTACTGAAAACCTGGTCATTTCCAGTTCTTCAGCCTAACAGACAAAGCTTCATCAAGCATTCTCATATACATATTACAGGGTGTGGCAGTGTGGTTATATTCCTGTGATCGTTCCCTAGAAACAGAACCACGGGTCAAAAGGCATGCACACTGAATGTTGAAAGAGGCTGCCCACACCAGGAAGTCTGTGTCATTACATGAGATGAGAGGCCACATCCCACATTTTCACTGACACAGGAAGTTGTTGATCTTTTTAACTGATGCCAGTATAAGAAATGAAGAATGTTATTTCATTTGTAGTAATTTAAAAGTTCGTGATTACTGGTAAAGTTGAGCATATTTTCACATGTGTATTGGCCATCTTCATTTCTTCTCAGAATTGTTTTCTTTCTATTGGATAATTTGAGTTAATTGGATAATCTTATGAATTCAAAGGAGCATTGTTGTATTATAAATAGTAGTCTTTTGATGCTTTCTTGTGTTGCAGATATTTTTCTCAGTACTTTACTTTTCTTTGAACTTGATTTATATGTTATTTTACTATATATAAGTTTTTATTTATTTTAGTTTTGGGTAATCAAATCTGTCCATTTTTTTTTCTTTATGGTTCTATACCTTGTTTAGAAAGTCTTTCTCTACAATATTCTCCAAGAATATAAGAATACTCTCCTATAGTCTCTTCTAGTACATTTGCATTTTTGCTTATAGATTTATTTTTATGTTTAGACTTTAATCCATGAAGAATTTAGTATTGTGTTTGGTGAAAAGTAGAGATTTAACTTTATATTTTTAGGTTGGTTGTCTTTAAACAACTCCTTAATCAAAACCCAAATTTCGTGACTGGGCGTGGTGATTCATGCCTGTAATCCTAGCACTTTGGGAGGCCGAGGTGGGCTGATTGCCTAAGCCCAAGAGTTCAAGACCAGCCTGGGCAACATGAAGAAACCCTGTCTCTACAAAAAATACAAAACTTAGACAGGCATGATGGCATGTGCATGTAGTCCCAGCTACTTGGAAGGCTGAGGTAGGTAGATTGCCTGAGCCCAGGTGGTCTAGGTTGCAGTGAGCTGAAAGCATGCCACTGCACTCCAACTTGGGTGAGACTCTGTCTCAAAAAAAAAAAAAAAACAACCTGAATTCCCGTGGATATACAGGTCTGTTTCTGGACTGTTGTGCCATTGATCCCTTGTCTATATCTGGCCTGTAATCATACTGCTTTAATTTAATTATTAAAGCTTCTCCATAAGTTTTTATACGTGCTAAGCCATCCCCATTTCTCTTTGTTTTTGAACTTACCTCAACCATTCTGATACATTTTCTTTATTAAGAGGATCTTTAGAATTAGATAGTCATGGTCCAAAAGTCCTCCCTTGGGATTTCAGTTGTAATAGATTGGAGCTACTCATGCATTTGTGGTTGGTTGACATCTTACAAAGGGGAACTAAGGTCTCCAGCCAGGACTCCTTGCTCCCCTGGTACTCTCTGAGGCCCTTCTTCTTGCACACCTCCACTCCAGCCTATGATTCCAAGGCTTCTGGAAAGGACAGATTCCTACACATCGTTGGTTTAATTTCTTTCCTCCCCTGGGTGGCCTGTGGATTTTTACATGAACTTTCAGAGGGAAAAGAGTGAAAAGCATGCAAACCTCAGAGTTGCAGGGAAACTCAGAGAGAAATACTTTTTGTCAGGGAACGTTTTTTCTGCTCCTGGCAAACCACACTGAACACTCATGTGTGAACAGCCTGGGGTAATCAGGTTCCAGCTGAGGCTTTTTTAAAAAAACAGCTTTATTGTTCTAGAATAACTTAAAATTCTTTCATTGTAAGTGTACTGGTAAATGATTTTTAGTAAATGTATGGAATTATGCAATCGTCACCATAATCCAATTTTAGAATATTTCCATCGCTCCCAGAAGACCCCTTGTGCCCTTGTATAGTCGTTCTCTGGATGCCACTTTGTCCTTAACATGACAGCATCAGAAGTGGGGGACAAATGATGGCATTCCCAAGAGATCCTCTGCCTGTGAGTCTAGGACCAACACTGTAACCACATACATAGCATGACCTCACATGATACCACTCTCTTGGGGAGACGCAGGTGGGGCCTCCTCCTGAGGGCCCTGGTCACACTGAGTCCCATCCTTACCCTTCCAGGTGGATAAAGTTTGAAGAAAAGGTAGAGGAAGGCGGCGAACGCTGGAGCAAGCCCCACGTGTCCACACTCTCTCTGCACAGCCTCTTCGAGCTCCGTACCTGCCTGCAGACGGGGACGGTGCTGCTGGATTTGGACAGTGGCTCCTTACCACAGATCATAGGTGAGGCAGGGGCCACTGTGTGCATCTCTCCTGTGGTCCCTTGCAAACCAGGGCAGTTCCCCTGACCTCATGCCTGCCTTCGAGCCTGTGTGACTGGCCCATCTCTGACACCTGACTCTGCAGAGAACAGCTTTGACTCTGTTGCTCCCAGGGCAGGATCAAAGCTGCCCCAAGTTTCAGTTCCACACAGACCTCCAGCAGAGAGGCAAAGACCATCCTCCAAAATGCTATCCAGAAATGTAGCAAAAGGGGAGAGGGCATGGTCAGAGACACCTTTTGCCATGACAACCTGTTTCTTTTTAGGGTAAAATGGGTCATTATTCATCTTTAGGAAATTAGCTATCATTTAGTGGTGTGTCAAAGGGAGGAGGTAGCTTGCCTTAACACCCCTAAAAATTTTTGTCAGTTTTCTTCCAGCACATTGGGTTTTTCCAGAAGTATTTTACCCAAAATGCTTTTCTAAAAAGAATTCATTTTAGGACTAAACCCATTGAACACAATACCTTTATGCTTCCTGGGAAAATTTCATATGGACTGTTTATTTCACTTTTCATAAGAACATTGACAGAGCAGAGTCTTACATACATACACACACACACACAGACATGCATGTGCCCTTGAACAGGAGGCCAAGAGTTGGTGATGTGCCCAGTTTTCCACAGTTAGTGGCAAAGCCAGAAGTATTTCCACACACCCGCTGACACCTCCAGCTCACATTTAATCCCACTCATAACAGGTGAAACTGAAACACCCTGGGGCTGTTCTGTCCACAGGGACGAAGTGTATTTGTTTTCCATGCAGATGATGTCATTGAGAAGCAGATTGAGGATGGTCTCCTGCGGCCAGAGCTCCGGGAGAGGGTCAGTTACGTCCTCCTGAGGAGGCACCGTCACCAAACCAAGAAACCCATCCACCGCTCCTTAGTCGACATTGGGAAGTCAGTCTCCACCACAAGTGAGTTGGGGCTTACGCTGGTGGGCATGGGACATGCAGGGCCAAGTATCAGGCCCTGGTATCCAGGTGAGCCCACTTTAGGGGCTGGGAGTTTCTGGAGAAATTCTGATGTTTGCCTCCTTCACTGGCAGGCCTGCAGGGATCCCAGCCACACTCCCATGTTGTTCCCACCACCAGAGCAGAACACTTTCTAGGAAGAGAGTTGGTTCTTAGCCAGGGCTACACATTGTAAATCACTTTGGGGCTTGAGACGTGTCCTAATGCCTTGGCCCCATCCTGGAGAGTTGGAGTCAGTTGGTCTGGGGTATGGCCTAGGAAAAGAGAGAGAGGTTAGAACATACCCCAGGTGATTCCCATGTCACACAGCATTGGGAAATGCTGGTAGAGATGGCTTGCTTATGCAAAAGACCCAGAAGTTTCACATTAAACCCCATGGAGAGGTCAAGAGCCTCAGCAGAAAGTGGAACACAACAGGGTGGTAGAAGGGGCTGGGCTTATCTCAAGAGTGCCAGGGCTGTAGACCGGGTGGCTGATGTCACTCTGATTAGCAGGACCTGGGACCATTCAGAGAGGGTGGATTGTTCCATGCACACATCTGAAATATCCAACACTCCACTATCCTATTTGAGCCTAGATGCCCAGAGACATTAGCCCTGCTGAGGCTGTCAGACAAACACAGTAACCAGAGCTAAGTTGCTAAATTAAAAACACTGAGGAACCTCTTTAAATAAATTACTTTAAAATGGGAAGTGACCTGGGCATGGTGGCGTACACCTGTAATCCCAGCACTTTGAGAGTCCAAGGTGGGCGGATTGCTTGAGCTCAGGAGTTTGCGACCAGCCTGGGCAACATGGCATACACCCAATCTCTACAAGAAATACATAAATTCTATGGTTTAACCCCATCTCTACAAAACCCCATGGCATAAACCCCGCCTCTTCAAAAAATTAGCCAGGCGTGGTGCCATACACCTGTAGTCTCAGCTAATCAGGAGGCTGAGGGGGGAGGATCACTTGAACCCAGGAGACAGAGGTTGCAGTGAGCTGAGATCATGCCATAGCACTCCAGCCTGGGTAAGAGAGCAAGACCTTGTCTCAAAAAATCCCCCAATAAACAATGGGAAGTGTTTAACATCCCATAAAAACAATAGATACATACTCAGCACTTACCACATTCTGGGCACTATTCTGAGTGCTCTTCCTGTTTTAACTCACTTCATCCTCACAAAAACACTGTGGTGTGTAGGTACAGTTCTTGTCTCCATTTTACAGATGAGACGCCTGAGGCACAGAGTTTAAGTAGCTTGCCTAAGGTTACACAGCCAGTAAGTGGTAGAATCAGGGATGAACCCAAGCAGTCTATTACACCTTGTACCCATGTAATCAATTGTGTGTCTATCTCACTTTCAACAGTACAGATATTCTCTCTGTAATCTTGTTTTGTTTTTGTTTTTGTTTTTTTTGAAATGGAGTCTCACTCTGTCACCCAGGATGGAGTGCAGTGGCACAATCTTGGCTCACTGCATTTTCTGCCTCCTGGATTCAAGAGATTCTCCTGCCTCAGCCACCCAAATAGCTGGGACTACAGGTGCCTGCCACCACACCTGGCTAATTTTTGTATTTTTAGTAGAAACAGGGTTTCACCATGTTGGCCAGGCTGATCTTGAACTCCTGACCTCAGGTGATCCACCCGCCGCAGCCTCCCAAAGTGCTGGAATTACAGTCATGAGCCACTGCGCCCAGCCTGTAATCTTGTTCAGACTATTGACTTGCTTAAATGAAAAAAAAAAAAAAAATTCTTCCTGGAAGGGGAAGAGACATGTCTCATATAGCCCAGTTTTATTTAGTTAAAGTGAACTAACCTGAGAGGCTTTGCTATACCAGCAAGGCTGTTGAAGCCAAGTCCGTTCTGATTCTCCTCTCAGATCGCAGTCCTGGCCGGAGCCTTGGTGCTGGCCCAAGTCTACACCACTCCACGGAGGACCTGCGGATGCAGCAGAGTGCAAATTACGGACGTCTGTGTGAGTGTGTGCTCCGCTGCTCTGTGGCAGCTTTGTTTAAGCTGTGGCAGCTGTGACATGGCCACATTGCCATAGGTGGGGGAGACAAAGCCCAGGATCTGCCAAGAATTCTCAGGGCGTGGATCAGGAGAAGCCTAACTTTCACTCTAATCCCGGGCTGCTGTCAGGGCCTCATTTACTACTTAGTATTCAAGTCATTCCTCTGAAAAATGAGGCTCTCAGTCGCATCCTGATGTAATCAATACCCACTCCCATGTTCTAGGCATTTTTATCTCAGTTTGTATCCTCATCTTCACCAAACTGACATTAACCCTGTTTTTTGGTGAAAAGCTTTCCTGGAAACGGAATTTAAAAAAAAAAAAAAGCAAGGTCCTTTCCTTCAGTTCAGTCAGGCAGCATTCCCATCACTGGGTGGCAGTCTCGTACCACCACATGGAGAAGAAATGTGGGCAGAGTCATGGCCCCTTTTTGCTGGGAATGGATGGTGTGGGGGGGTGGTTTGAGGTGAGAGGTCACAGACAGGCTTTTTACGCAGCTTATCAGGGATACACAGACAGGCAAGCTGGAGGAAAGAAAGGAGCCAACTTAGAAAATGAAGAGAAAAAGAAAAAGCAGTGAAAGACTATTTTCCTTCTGGTATTTTTGCTAAAATGCCAAGATGTTAACAAGTGCAGCCCAGTGCTGTGCCCCGTCCATGCCCGAGGAGTGACTTGGGGGGCAGTGCAGCCCCTGCCCGTGGCCTTGGCCATAGCAGGTGTTTGCTGCAGTCTTCTCTCCCTGTCTTGATGGCCCAAGTCCACTTAGTCTCCCTTGGCCTGGTTATTCCACATAGGGATGCCCAGTGAATGTTCAGTGGGTAGACAGTGGCTTCGGGAAGACCTCCCACTCAGTTGTCATTGTATATGAGGTCACCTCCCTACCAACACTGCTTAAGGGTAGGAACCACTGGGACAAGAGGCATGAGTGGATGGTTACAGCTTTGTGTGAACCAGGTCATATTCAAGGTGGTCACCCACCCTGAGGTGGCCCAACATGCAGAACACAGGGCACAGGGGAAGGATCGGAGAAGAGGAGACGCTGACTGAGTCTTGGAGCATAAACAGAAGTTTTCCAGGAGCAAGGAGGAGGAAGAGGGGGTTCTAAACAAAGGAAACAAATAGCAAGTTGCGGGAGGGAAGAGAAGGAGCTGGAGGTAAAGAACATCAGTTCAGTTTATAGGAAGTACAGGAGTTAAGGGGAAGAGAAGGTCAAAGCAAAGAGGGCCTTGTACACCCAGCAAAAGAACCCAGATTCTAGTGGGGCACGGTGGCTCACTCCTGTAATCCCAGCACTTTGGGAGACCAAGGCGGGCAGATCACCTGAGGTCAAGAGTTCGAGATCAGCCTGACCAACATGGAGAAACCCCATCTCTACTAAAAATACAAAATTAGCTGGGTGTGATGGAGCATGCCTGTAATCCCAGCTACTTGGGAGGCTAAGGCAGGAGAGTCGCTTGAACATGGGAGGTACAGGTTGTGGTGAGCCCAGATCATGCCATTGCACTCCAGCCTGGGCAACAAGAGCGAAACTCAGTCTCAAAAAAGAAAAACCCCAAAACAAAACAAGAAAACCCGGATCTTATTCTGAAGGTAATGGGAAGCTTGAAGTAGGAGCATGCCGTAATCAGATTTCTGTCCCAGTAGGAATAAACTAGAAGGGGCAAGATTGGAAGGCAGAGACTGAGCCTACATTCAAGAATGGAAAGGAAGGGACAGAGGTAGAATTGAAGGGCTGGTGGGAAGTAGGAGGTGAGGAAGAGGGAGGGTCCAAGGCTGCTCCTAGATTTCTGTCTGAAGGGCTGGTGGATGGGAGGGAGGGGCATTGAGTGGAATGTGTCTGTGAGGGGAGTGATTTGGTGGAAGATAAAGAGTTGTATTTGAGGTGCCAGAGGCGGCTGCTCCAAGGAGTCTGCAACTCAGAAGAGGGGTCAGACTAAAGATCCATCCTTGGCATCCTCAGTCCAGATGGGTGTTGGAAATAATAGGAGTGGGGGTAATTGACCAGCGGAGAGGCTGAGGCACCCGGAGGGGATGAGAGCAAAGACAAGACCCCAGGAGGCCCAAGCAAGAGAGGATCCTGGGACAGAAATGAGAGGAGGAGAGCTGAGAGGAGCCACGTTCCGGACACCAGGAGTGGCACAGGCCAATAGCCGAGACACGATAGGTCTGAGGGTATCCACCAGATCGGGCTAGTGGGAGAAGAGAGCTGACTTTCTCCCCCTTAACAGAGGAAGGAACTATTGGGCAGTCCAAATAATTGACTATCACTGTTCTCATGGGGAGGCCACCTTCCTTCCCTCTGTCAGCCTAAATCACCAGCCCATCTTTAAAGATTCTTACTGGTCATGGAGGACAGAGGTGAAACTGCTCTCCTCTCCAGCAAATTCCAAGCTTAGTGACACATGGCCCCTCATCTAATAATGCATCTGTTGTCCCTCCCCCTATCCAGGACTGGTACAGAGCCAGACCCAGAGTAGATAGCCTGGCGACGTCCAAGAAGGTGGAGTTGAAGAGTAGAGACTAGAGTGCGGTAGATTGAGGAGGGAGAAGGAAACAGTGGAACCTGGAGTCTGACACCTCTTTCAGGAAAGCCATTAAATGGAAGGAAAGTGAGAGGATGCTAGCTTAAGGGAGCTGCAGGATTAAGGGGGAAAGGACTTGCTTTGGTTGTGAACATGGGAGAGGCATGAGTAGGGGCCATAGCAAAGGGACCTGTGAGAGCCTGGCTTCCCCTGATGGATCTTCCTTTCCTTCTCTCCTAGGTCATGCCCAGAGCAGAAGCATGAATGACATTTCTCTCACCCCAAACACAGACCAGGTAGTAAAATCCCTGCATTTGGCTGCAATGGAGGGCCAGGGCAGGAGGAAGTCTTTGGTTTCAGGGGCAGGGATCCCCTATGGGCAGAATTCCATTTCTACGAAGGAAGGGAGTTCCAGGAAGGTCCCAGGTGGGGACCCTGGGCCACCTGGGGGACTCTGCCAAGCCCAGCAGTCAGGGACTGATTGAATCCCAGGTGCTGGCTCTATGTCAGGCCCTCAGGCTGTGGGACAGAGAACATGATCAAATGAGGTGCCAGCTGTCCTTGAGCTCAGCATTTGTTGAAGAGAAAAGACCAGCACACATGACTTCATCTCCCCTGTGACCCACAGGCAACTTTAATGATGGGATAGGGATTGGGGCTGGCAGAGAGACAGAAAAGAGTCTCCCTGTGAGGAGAACAGTGGTAGTTAATTGCTTAGACTGCCAATAGTGCATCTTCCTGTGGTCTCCCACGAGCTGGACTGAAACTTCCTTGATGAGATCAGAATCCTACAAACAGCTTGGGTCCAGTTCTAAGTCCCACAGCCCCAGAATCCTGTGACTGTGCCCTTTGGGGAAGGCCAGAGGAGGCCCCCTCAATTCCAACTCCTGCACACCTCAAGGACAGGAGGTCCCATGGTCCCGTTGTCTGTCTCCACAGAAGTAGGAAGAAAAATGACAAAGGAAACCTGAAACTTGGCCAGGAGCCTTCAGGAGCTTGGGTGGACCTGCAAGCCTTCCAGGCACCCCTAAGTTTGGTGGAAGGCAAAAACAAAGTGAGCCCCTCATGTCAGTGTCCTGGGCAAAAATAAACTAAACAATAATAAAATCAACCAACATTTAAAGTCCACACTGCATGCGCTACACTGTGCCAGGCATTTTCTGTGAGTCACAAAGATACTGTTTTCATTCCCATTTTACTCATGAGAGAACACTGAGGCTTACATCAGTTAAATAACATGCGCAAGTCTATAGAGCTGAAAGGCAGAACTTTGATTTGACCTAGGTAGTCTAACTCCTAGAGCTCTTAATTTTGGAGTAATTTAGGAACTACTTAGTATTCTGGAACATTATTTGGAGAGGAAAACCGCTTTTAGTCATGCACACAGACAGTGGAACTGTAATAAGAAAGCATTTCCTAGTAAAAGTTTTTCATAACCATTTTAATGAATGTGTGAGTGGTAATAACAACACTAGCTGTCACTTTCAGCAGTCAGTGCTTCCTTGATTTAGGGATTGGAACCCACCATCTAGCACCAGCGTCTAGTTCTCCTCGCTGATCCCTGATGCTGCAAATACTGAGAAGCAGCATCAGTGGTCTATGCCAGTGGGCGTTCTTTAGCAAGCCCAGAGGCATTTGCTCTGCAGGCTCTTTCTTCATCATTGGTTTATACAAAACTAAACTCCATGCTTGCTCTGAGTCGGCAGATTCCCAGTGAACAGAGAGTAGATTCAGACAGTATCATTGTGCTACAGTGACTCCAAGGGTTCAGGAAGTGGAGTCAGCAGGGCCCTGGTTATACACACCCATGTCCAGGCTGTGGGCAAGCCAGGGTTGGTCGGAACACTAGCATGCTCCTATTTCTGGGATGCCACAACCCTGGCCTCCTTACCAAACAGGTCACAATGTGTAAGGAAGGACCAAGTCCCTGGTTCAGTTTCTCTTCTCTCCTGGATTACAAGTGGGTTGGTTTGATGGCCAGGTGTTATGGCTCACATCTGTAATCCCAGCACTTTGGGAGGCTGAGGCAGATGGATCACTTGAGGCCAGGAGTTCCAGACCAGCCTGGCCAACACAGAGACCCCCTGTTTCAACCAAAAATACAAAAATTAGCTGGACGTGATGGCATGTGCCTGTAGTCCCAGCTACTTGGGAGACTGAGGCTGGAGAAGCGCTTGAACCTGGGAGGAGGAGGTTGCAGTGAGCCGAGATCATGCCACTGCACTCTAGCCTGGGTGACAGAGCGAGACTCTTGTCTCAAAACAAAACAAAACAAAACAAAACAAAACACAAGTGGGTTTGTTGGGACACCCTGAAGCATCGCTGCTTCCAAAGCCTCATTCTCCAGGCTGCTGCTGCTTAGCCCGCTTCTCCTACCCTGCCCTGGATCCCCTCCCTGCCTGATGCTCAGAGACGGTGGCTGCCCTGGTACACCCAGCTCTCCACCCTGAAGAATGCTGCTTTTTAATCAACTGACCATGCCTGAGACAAAGGGACTTTTTGAGTCTCAGGGACTCTGGTGTTCCTGTCAATTCCTGCTTTTTCTCACTATGTTAGGATCCTTGAGGCTGCTGATGGTTGCCTGGGTGGTTGTGGAGGGTTTTTTTTCTGATTGGATTTAAAAGATTATAAGGGTGCAGGCCTTGCTCGTACTGGTAGGCCACCCAGCCCAGTGTGTATCATACCCCCACATAAGTCAGATCAGGAAACAGCTGTGGGCGTAAAAGGGCTGGACCTGTTGGCCATATCCATGCCCACAGCTGACCCCTCCACAGGGATGGGAAGAGATACAAGGAAGCTGTGTCTTCACTGAGCCTGTGAGAAACAGACAGGTCTGTGCCCATAGGAAAGACTCCAGCAGAGGGGAGATTGGTGGGAAAATTGTGATGTTTGCAGGTGCTTTCTTTAGAGCTGTCCTCTACACCAGGCTCTTTCCTGTTGTTTCAGCCACCGTGGACTGCTCTCAGCCCTGCCACCACCGCAACTGCTCCCCCTCTGTCTTCTGACAAAATTATCTCTGTCTCTTGTCTATCCATGCCCTTGCTGCCCAGAGGGAAAGCAATCTGAAAAAGGAATTCATTCTAAGATGTTAAGGACTAAGAAGAGCTCGAAAGTAATCATCCCTGGGGTATTTTCAGCATAAAAAAGGACTCAGGAAGAATGAAGTTATAAACACAGAGAGTGGGAACACATTTGAGCGGAGGGCTTGTCTCTAGTACCTCTCACATCAGACCCCACTGGCTCTGCCTGTATGACCTAACTCCCCTGAAGAGATACTAGCCAGAGGGACTGGAGAGAGGCCACCTTGATAGTCTCCACTGGAAAATCCCAGAAGTTATGAATTTCCTGGGAGGTCCCCTGGGGGTAACTTGGGGGCATGGAAATCTCCCAGACTTTGAGACTGATCCAGGAATTCCTGTGAGCCAGGAAGCTGGTGGCAAAGGGAAAACAAGGCCTGTCTACTTTGACTGTCAGAACAGGCCTCCTCCTCCTCACAGCCACCAAAAGTGGAGGTGGAGAGGGGGGGTCTGGGTGGCTGGAGTAGAGGTGCTGACACTCCCTTCTGCTCAGCCTGGAAGAGGCCATCCAGTGAGGCCTGATGTCTGGCAAGCCTGGGGCTCTTCTCAGACCCCTCAACCCACAACTCAGTGGAACAGTTTTCATCCATCAAGGAATATCTTAGGGCCAAGTCATTGCCGGATCCTTCCCATCTACAAAGCTTAATGGTGCCTGGGGTTAACCTACATTCAGTCTTCCCATCTGCAGAATTGGGAGAGTACTTGGTTATTCTTTCAGTCTATTGGCAACATTGGGAGAATTTTTTCAAGTTAGACCTGAAAGCAGTCTGAAGGAGAGTGAGGGAGTGAGAGCAGGTGGGAGTCGCCATGGCTATCTTGTTTTCCTTCCCTGTCCAGCGGAAAAACAAATTCATGAAGAAGATCCCCAAAGACTCGGAAGCCTCCAACGTGCTCGTGGGCGAGGTAGACTTCCTAGACCAGCCATTCATCGCATTCGTGCGCCTCATCCAGTCAGCCATGCTGGGAGGAGTAACAGAGGTGCCTGTCCCCACCAGGTGAGAGCCATTGAAACCTGTCCCCATGCCACCCTCAGGGAGCCAGCTGTCCATGCAGTCAGCAAGCAGTGCTGTTGATTGTTAGTGCTCTTGGAGACACCTCTAAGTGTGGAGGTTGCTGGGAAGGGATATCTTCTAACTAGGGAAGAGTTTTAGAGTTTACTAAAAATCATAAAAGAGTAGGTAACAACTGGGAGAGAAGTTGTCAGGTGGGCGTTGGCAGCAAGACAAAGGTGAGGATGCTCAAGGGGGAGCCTAAGGGAGGGGAAGAGGAAATCTTCCTCCAAAGCAAACATGGGGTTCCACAGAGGGAAGTAAAAAAGTTTTTTTTTTTTACTGCATGAGCAGTGGCTCATGCCTCTAATCCCAGCATTTTGGGAGGCCAAGGCGAGTGAATTGCTCAAGCTCAAGAATTGGAGGCTAGCCTGGGCAGCACGGTGAAACCCTGTATCTACGAAAAATACGAAAAATTGGCTGGGCATGGTGTTGCATGCCCATAGTCCCAGCTATTCAGGAGGCTGAGGTGGGAGGATCACTTGAGCCCAGCAGGTGGAGGTTGCAGTAAGCCAAGATTGCGCCACTGCACTCCAGCCTGGATGATGGAGTGAGACCCTATCACAAAAAAAAAAAAAAAAAAAAAAAAAAAAGTTAAGAATGGATATTGTTTGGGGCCAAAACACTCTCTTCACCTGCTTATATTTTTTCTTCTCACTTTCATGCTCCTCTTCCTTCATCTTGTCTGTCTCCTCCCCCGTCTTCTTTGCAGATTTCTGTTTATACTGCTGGGACCTTCTGGGAGAGCAAAATCCTACAATGAAATTGGCCGTGCCATTGCAACCCTCATGGTAGATGATGTAAGTGGTAACCAGAAGCTTGTACTCCTGAATTTTATGCCTCCTGCACCAATCACTCCACCTTCATTCATTAACTTATCCAGCCAGCACATTGGAATACCTACTGTGTACCAGGCACTACGTAGGATGCTAAAGATGAAGAGAATCGGGGAATAGTCATTGTCCTTTAGGAGAACCAATCAAGCGTGAGGGACAAATTGATACTTATAAAACCAACCATGTGCTAGCTGTCCAGGGGGTCAAGGAGGGCTTCACAGATGAAGGGGCTTTAAAGCTAAGAAGGAGCAGGAGGAAGGTAGACCCAGCACCAGGCTACGAGGCAAGCGTTCTAGACAAAGGAAATGAATGGGTCAGGCTCAGAGAAGCTGGATGGAGGTGGTTTGATGTAGACTCAGTGTAAGAGCTTCAAGGGAAGGAGGTGGCACTGGAGAGGTGAGCCAGAGACTGCACAGAGCCTGTAAGCAGAGCTGAGTCATGCTGTGTCCCCAGAGTGATGGGGAGCCTAGAGGACTTTAACTCTTCCCCTTTGTGCCAAAAATACTCACTGGCGGCACTTGTGCCTGCAGCCTTTATCCCGGGATAACTTTTTCCCACAAAATGTCTCACTTTTATTATTATTTTCACATCGCTCCAGTATGTTGACTTTAGAAGCAAAAGACATCATTCTACTTATAGCATTCTGTTTTTAGTTGTGGTATTTCCATTTACAAAATACGGTAATTCTCAATGACTGAAAATATCAAATCCTAGAAAACTAGCTTTCCTACGAGTGATGGTAACATCATTCTCGAACAGTTGTTAGCCTAAGATTCATCTGATGAATCCACTGTTTCCAAAATAGGTGATTCTGATTATTCCAATGATTTTGATGTTAGTTCTGTTTAGAAATAACGCCAAGAATAGTTTTTATGTTTCATTTTCACAATGAAAGTCAGATTTGCTTTGGCCTCAGAGTGTTTTCATGTAAAATTAAATGACCACTGGCAGTGAGCTGCACTCTTCTTTTCCTAAATGGGAAAAGGGTTAAACATGAGCATAGCCCCATGGAATCTGCAAGTCAGAAAGCACACTCGAGACAGTGTGAACAATGCAGGCTGAGCCTCCAAGGGTGAAGGGCTAGGAGTAAAAATTGGAAGTAAAATATCTGAGCTCTTTGGATTGGGCCCTACAGAGGTTTTCTAATGTATGTGCTGTGTGAAAAACTGAAACCAGAAAGGTTAAGTAACTCGACCAAAGTCCTGCAAGCAAGAATATGGAGACCTGGCCTTCAGATCCAAGACAGGCTGTCTTCCCCCAGTGCCTGCTGTGTCCCGTTGTGCCATATTTTACCAGTGTGCTATGGTTCCCTCCCAAAAACTGAGTGAGTTGGCAGTGGGAGATGTGGTTCGGTGATTTCTTTAAAAACTAGATGTGGTGTGCTCCTGGGCACGTCACAAAGAGACCTGACCTTTTTTTCTCCCTCCTCTCTCCTTGCCAGCTCTTCAGTGACGTGGCCTACAAAGCCCGCAATCGGGAAGATCTGATCGCAGGAATTGATGAATTTCTGGATGAGGTCATCGTCCTTCCTCCTGGAGAATGGGACCCAAATATCCGAATTGAGCCCCCCAAGAAGGTGCCCTCTGCTGACAAGAGGTGTGTATGAGAATGGGCGATAGGGAGAGAAAAAGGAGGCTTCAACTCTGTATGTATCATTTTATTTCTCTTTAAAATACATCTGAGGCCCGGCATGGTGGCTCATGCCTGTAATCTCAACACTTTAGGAGGCCGAGGTGAGTGGATTACTTGAGCCCAGGAGTTTGAGACCAGCCTGGGCAACATAGTGAGATCTGGTTTCTGGAAAAAAAAAAAAAAAAAAAATTAGCTGGGCATGGTGGCACACACCTGTAGTTCCTGCTACTCTGGAGGCTGAGGCAGGAGGATTGATTGAGCCCAGGAGGTCGAGGCTGCAGTGAGCTATGATCATGTCACCATATTCCAGCCTGGGCAACAGCATTTGACCCTATCTCAAAACAATTTTTAAAATAAGTTTAAAAATAACGAGATGGCCAGGTGCAGTGGCTCACGCCTGTAATCCCAGCACTTTGGGAAGCTGAGGCAAGCAGATCATGAGGTCTAATCCCAGCACTTTGGGAGGCCGAGGCGGGTGGATCACGAGGTCAAGAGATCGAGACCATCCTGGTCAACATGGTGAAACCCCGTCTCTACTAAAAATACAAAAAATTAGCTGGGCATGGTGGCGCGTGCCTGTAATCCCAGCTACTCAGGAGGCTGGGGGAGGAGAATTGCCTGAACCCAGGAGGCGGAGGTTGCGATGAGCCGAGATCGCGCCATTGCACTCCAGCCTGGGTAACAAGAGCGAAACTCTGTCTCAAAAAAAAGAGTTTGAGACCAGCCTGACCAAAATGGTGAAACTCATCTCTACTAAAAATACAAAAATTAGCCGGGCATGGTGGCATGCGTTTGTAATCCCAGCTACTCAGGAGGCTGAGGCAGGAGAGTCAATTGAACCCAGGAGGCAGAGGTTGCAGTGAGCCAAGAAGGTGCCACTGCACTCCAGCCTGGAAGGCAGAGCAAGACTCCATCTCAAAAAAATAAAAATAATAAGCTACATCAGAAGCAAATATGGCTAAATGTGAACACTTGTAAAATCTAGGTGACCTGTATGTGGATAGTGTTAGATCATTTTCTGCATTTATGCCTGTCTTCTAAGATATTTCATAATTTTGGTTGGAGAGGTGAGGGGTGCTCTGGGGTCCCCCTCTCCCTCATCCCCCTTCTCTTCCAGGAAATCTGTGTTCTCCCTAGCAGAGCTGGGCCAGATGAATGGCTCTGTGGGAGGAGGTAGCGGAGCTGCTGGAGGAGGCAACGGAGGTGGTGGTGGTGGCGGCGGAGGCGGGGCCGGCGGCGGTGGTGGGGCCGGTGGAACGAGCAGCGGGGATGATGGAGAGATGCCAGCTGTGCACGAAATTGGGGAGGAGCTTATCTGGACAGGAAGGTGCCCACCCCAGCCTCACAGTGACCCTGCTGTCCTTTAGACTTCTCTCCTTCTCAGCTGCCCTCCAGGGATCTTTCCCAACCACGGCCTATAGCACCCCCTCAGGTTACCCCTGCCTTCTTTCCCTCCCAGAGCCCTTGAGCCCCATCATGGATCCCCAAAAAGGGTTGCCTCAGGAGAAGGGAATTTGAGACCCTGTACAAGAGAAGAACCCAAACTTTTCTCTTAGACATCCTTTGGTGCCTGTTTCCTGGGTCTGCTGTAACAAAGTACCACAAACTAGGCGGCTTAAAACCACAGAAAGTTACTCCCTGCAGTTCTGGAGGCCAGGAGTTCCACAGCAGGGGTCGGCAGGACCACCATGCTCCCTGAGGCTCTGGATAGAATCCTTCCTGGCCTCCTCCTGGCTTCTGGTGGTGGCCAGCAGTCCTTGGTGTTCCTGGATGGCAGCTGCATCACCCCCGGCTCTGCCTCTCTACCACATGGCCTTCTGTGTGTCCCTGTCTTCACAGAGCACGTTCCTCTTTGTATAAGGACACCAGTCATATTGGATTAGGGCCCACCCTAATGACTTTGTCTTAATTGGATTACCTCTGTATAGATGTTACGTAGATGTTAGGGCCTTAATATATATCTTTTGGGAGGACACGATTCAAAAAGTACCTTTTTTAAAAACCTAATTTACCTATTCAAAAACTTTTCTTTTTTTTAAGAAAATATGCCTTGGCCTGGGTTTTTTTTCCAGCTCTTGGAGCCACTCAGGTTGATCTAGATTTAGGAAAGGACATGGCCTTGCAAATCTACATGTAAATCATGACTTTGAGAACGAAGTCATGTTTTAAATGCCTTGACTTTATACCAGTGGTTCTCAACTTTGGCCCTCCTTAGTCCCCCTACCCCAGAGTCCAGGGGATTTGGCAATGTCCAGAGACATTTTTGTTTGTCACAACTGGAGAGGTGAGTTGCTACTGGCATCTAGCAGGCAGCTGCTAAACATCCTGCAGTGCACGGGACAGCCCTTACAGCAAAGGAGTATCCAGTCCAAAATAGAACTGAGGTTGAGAAACTCTACTCCATGCTAAGGACTGCGCTGGGGGATATGGGAATAGCAATCCCAGTAAACAATGTCTCCAAACCTAAAATCTCCCACTCAACTGTTCCAGATAGAAAAATTAAAAAAAAAAACAAATACCAACCAGTTATAAGGTTTAGAATCTGTTCTTAATGAGTCTGTTATAACCTGGGATGCTTCTATCACTGAAAGTTAAACACACCTGTATTCACCAAGAGCAGGCACCCTGCAGATGGTCAGGGATGTGAGGAGGACCACCATCTGTGGACCCCAGGGCTTCCATTCTCCATGGAATGTTAGGTCTACCTTGAGACATATTCCCATCAGACTTTCCCTCTCCAAAACCTGCTGTGTCCACCCTTCCTAGTGTGGGGGATGCCAACCACAAACTCAGTCCTACAGGAATTCATCCCTGGCCCCAAATGTTCTGGTGGAAAGATCTTTGCCCCATCCACTCCGGTCAAGTTCCTTTCCTCACCCCAGACTCTGCAGGTTCTTGTAAATAGCCCTGCCCCTGCACTGGTGTTAGTGGTGAGAAAGCAGCGCCCGGCCTGTCTTGAGCAGGTTCTTCGGTGGCCTGTGTCTGGATATCAAGAGGAAGTTGCCCTGGTTCCCAAGTGACTTCTATGATGGCTTCCACATTCAGTCCATCTCTGCCATCCTATTCATCTACCTCGGCTGTATCACCAACGCAATCACCTTTGGTGGACTTCTGGGGGATGCTACCGACAATTATCAGGTATATGTGAGCTGCACACCTGAGTGTAAAAGTAAGATCTGCCACCACCTGGTGGCAGCAGGTAGCTTCATCCTGTAATTCCCAAAACCAAGGTTTCATCTACCATCCAGGTTGAGGCCATCACTATTTGTAACCCTTTAGCCTTCAAATAATGATAATACGACAGTATTAAAAGATCTGAAACTAAATCTCATTACTAAAGACCAAATTTAATGATGCTTTAAGTAGGTCAGACTGTTAAGGGGAATCATCTGCTGTGTTATTTGGTACTCTTCCTACTGATACTAGAGTGAATTTAATCAGACAGTTAATGGAGTGCTAATTGTGGCCTCCTCCCCACACTTTTTAAACACCAACCTTGAATTCTTAGTTTGGAGTTAAGACATTTTTAGAAGGATGGTAAGCTGTTACTATGACAACAACTCAGGCCTCCCTGGGGAAAACAGCTCAGCAGAGACACCCGCCAATCTCTTAGGCAAAGGTCTTCTTTGGTGGAGGCCTTCAAAGTAGAGCCATTGGAAAGCTCAGTGCACCAAGGAGAAGACCCATTTGTCTGGTACCTCCTAGTCGTGTCCACATGGCTGCCCCTCAGGATACCCCAGTTCACACAGCTGACATTGCATCCATTATCTTCCTTCCTGACCTGCTGCTCCCTGGGCTTTCCCAGCATAGCAGGTGACACCATGGTTCACCCAACTGTCTACACCAGGAACTAAGCATTATCCTTGACCTATAAATCCTAGCTTCCCCGTGCGGCCCTCGCCACATGGCCCTATTTGGCTCTCACACCTCATCTCCCAGCATTCTCTTTCTCAGCATTCCTACCCTACCCACCCATTCTGCATTGTTTTCCATCAATCCTGATCATCTTTTGGTTCTTCAAGTACATGCTGTCTTTCAGCTCCAGACCTTTTATATGGTATTCCCTTTTTCTGGGACACCGTTTCTTGTTGCTTCACTTAACCCTCTTCCCCTGGCCAATTCTCTGCTCATTTTTTGGATCTCAGCTTGTACTTGTCCACTTCTAGGGAGGCCTTCCTGACCACCCCTTTACCCCTACTGCTTGCTCCTATGGCACCCCAGACCTGTCCCAGCTTAGCACACCTCTTGGCAGTGGCTCTCAACAGGGACAATTTTCACCCCAGGAGACATTTAACAATATCTAGCCATAGTTTTCATTGTTAAAACTGGGAGGAGGATTGCTACTGGCATCTAATGTGTAGAGGCTGTGGATGCTACTAAACATGTTACAATACACAGGACAGACCTTCACAACAAAGTATCATCTAGTCCAAAATATCAGTTGTGGTGAGATTGAGAAACGCTGCTGTATGGAAATTGCCTGGTTAATTACCCGTATCTCCCACTAGAATTAAGGTGTGTTATCTTGTTCAGTGATGGCTTTCTAATACCTTGCACAATGTCTGGTACGTAACAGACACTCAATGGATTTTGAAAGAATGAATGAATTATCTGACCTCTAAAAGCCCCAGACAGATGTTTGGATGAATGAATAATCAGATGGGTAAATGGGCTGTCTTCTGGAAGTAGATTGGACACAGAGACAAGCACATCCACTGTTTTCTAGGCCCTGGGTGCCAAAAGGAATTCACATGGGACCTTTATCCAGATGGAATTAAAGAGAGTGACACTGGCCATGCTGGCAAGTAGTGGAGGGAGTAGGAGATGGAGAACAGGATTTAGGGAGGAAAGGGCCCAGAATGAAGGATGAACACTGTGGCCTGGGCCTTTGGAGAGATCACTGGGCTGCAGCCTGTGTGGAGAGGCCCCTTCTCCTGCCTGTGCTGAGCCACACATTCCTTGTGCCCCCAGGGAGTGATGGAGAGCTTCCTGGGCACTGCCATGGCTGGCTCCTTGTTCTGCCTCTTCTCGGGACAGCCTCTCATCATTCTCAGCAGCACGGGACCCATCCTCATCTTTGAGAAACTCCTCTTCGACTTCAGCAAGTAGGTGTCCCTTGGTCCCCAGTGCCTGCTCTCATACTTGCGGCAGTATGCCAAGACCAGGGCAGGGGAATAGGCCCAAAGGGGAGGTGGTGGTGCAGAGGTGCCAAAGCCGTCTTTAACCATCGGAAGGGCTACCCAGTGACCCCTCCTGACTCCTGCCAGCCACCTGCCTTTAAGACATCTTAGTGCATATTGGCACAGCCCATAGGGACCAGCCATGACAAGGGGAGAAAATTCATACCACTCAGTTTGTGAGCAGTGGTGACTTGATAGGCAGTATAGTGTATGAAGAGTCTTGGTCTGTAGGTCAGAAGGCTACACCCAGACCCAGGCAGCTCCCGTCACTACTCCAGGCTCAGTTTCCTCCTCTACAGCATGAGGGTTGGGACTAGACCATTTCCAAGGGCTGCTCAGCCCTGTTCTTCTAAAATTCCATTTTTCACTCACTCTGGTGTCTGTTACCAACTGTGTGAGCACTGAGATGTCTTAGCACCTTCCTGCCTCCCCCATAAGATCTTCAAAAATTTTTTTTACTTATAAACACTGGACCCCCATGCGATCTCAAAGATAGACAGCTGCACCCCAGAATTGTCCCTGTCCCGTCTTTCACAGTCCCTGGAAGGGCATCTGTGCCATAGGAAGACAGATAAGCCACGCAGGGGTGGGTCTGAGGAGCCAAGCACAACCAGGAGCCCTGGCCTAGAGGCCCCTCACCTTCCCTCTGTCTTCCAGAGGCAATGGCCTGGACTACATGGAGTTCCGCCTCTGGATTGGCCTACACTCAGCTGTCCAGTGCCTTATCCTAGTGGCCACAGATGCCAGCTTTATCATCAAATATATCACCCGCTTCACTGAGGAGGGCTTCTCCACCCTCATCAGCTTCATCTTTATCTATGATGCCATCAAGAAGATGATCGGTGCCTTCAAGTACTATCCCATCAATGTGGACTTCAAGCCAAACTTCATCACAACCTACAAGTGCGAGTGTGTCGCACCTGACACAGGTGACCAGTAACCCTAGACTTGCCATGGGCCCTCACCTACCCCCCTCAACTCTGGTCCCCTGAACCTTTACCACAGCTCTCTACTCCTATTGCAGGGGAGGGGCTGTTCAGCCAAAGGCTTACTGTTCCAAGGGAGCAAATACAGGGTTTTGAACCCAGTTTTTCAAAGGAACCAAGGGGATAGTAGCTCTAATAAGAGTTACAGGATTATCATCATGAGGGTACAGGTATACCCCAAGAAGGTGTAAGGCATGCTTTGTCTCGGTGTGGGGAAATGTAGAGGCCACATGTCTGAGGAGTTCCTCCTGTCCAGGAGTTCCTACTCCAGGCCAGGGGTAGACCTGATGATGACTGAAGTTCCTCCCAGCTCCATCAAGTCATGATATGATGAGCTGTCCCCAACACAGTGCTGCCCATGTGGTCACATACCTCGTAAGGTGAGATCACACCTGAGGGATGGACATCCACACAGATGGGAACATGTCCAGAGTGGAGGCTCTGCCAACCATGCCATCTGAGAACAGCTGGATAACTGGGGCTTATTCAGCCTCTTAGGGACATGAGAGTTATGAGAGAAGAACTGTCATGTCACAGAGGGGCTGTGCTCACCCTCTGAAACCACAGGATGTAGAGCAGAATGAGGAACAGAGAGCAGAAGCTCCAGGGAGCCAGATGCTGACTGAATTTAAGAAAGAACCTACAGTGATGGGAGTTACCATCATGGGAGTTCTCAGCCCCTTTGGTTGGTGGATTACCTGGACACTGTCTGGTTGTCCATCTGCCAAGGATATTGTAAAAAGGATTCCTGTATAGGTGGAGTCAACCTGATAATACCCAGTGCCACACCTGTGAAGTTACTTTCTGGCCAAAAACCTGTCCTCTGTAAGTTAAGGCTTCTCATAGAGTCTGAGCCTCCTTCATAGTCACGATCGTGCACCTGAGAGCCTTCAGTGGCATGTGTCCAGAGTGCCCAGGGTGCTGCAGAGCAGGAGCAGGAGGTCTATACACACATCTCTAAGCACCGAGGCCAGACTCACAGAGAGCAAACTGAGGTTCAGAGACCACCCAAGGTCACGCCAAGCCTCCATTTCCCTGGCTGTAAAAGAGGGCTTTCAATGTAGGCCCTGCTGGTCTCCTGGGATTCCTGTGGGGTTTCCAAATCTGTACCCCAATTGAGTTGAAGGAAATAAGTGGATAGTGGGTTGTTTAGCCCCTTAGTACATTACTGTGGGTATAAAGAAAATCAATCATAAGTCAATCAAAAATATTTGCTGCACAATTATTGTGTACCCTACTTTTGGCCTTGTGGAAGATAATGATGTCCTGCCTTCTGGGAACTTAGTGTTAATTATACCCTCTTCTCTCTGTGACTGCAGTGATTTTGTAAAGAAGTCCAGACTTCTTTTTTCTTGTCATTATTTTGAGTTAATCCACTAAAATCTAATAACAGGTGAAGCTACCCTTCATCCTGAGCCAAGGCATATTGCTTCCCCAGAGGGGCTCCTACCTGCAGGCAGGCCCTTTAGATTCTACCCTGGAACAAATCCTGCCTCTGTGGGGAAGCCCCATCAGGACCTTCCCATGTGTTTGTATCTTCTATACTACAGATTCAGTGTTGCATTGACATAAGTTTTACACAAATATAGCTTCTAGAAGCACACATCCTTGATCTCTTTTAGAAATGATCCAAATTCTAGGGTTATATGAGGAGCTTTGACCTTTTTTTTTTTTTTTTTTTTTTTTTTTTTTTGAGATGGAGTCTCACTCGTGTCGCCCAGTCTGGAGTGCAATGGCACGGTCTCAGCTCACTGCAACCTTTGCCTCCCAGGTTCAAGCAGCTCTCCTGCCTCAGCCTCCTGAGTAGCTGGGACTACGGGCATGTGCCACCACGCCAGGCTAATTTTTTTTTTTTGTGCTTTTAGTAGAGATGGGGTTTCACCATGTTGGCCAGGTTGGCCTCAAACTCCTGACATCAGGTGATCCACCCACCTCGGCCTCCCAAAGTGCTGGGATTACAGGTGTGAACCACTGGGCCTGGCCACTTTGGCCATTCTGAGAATCATCTGTCCTTAAGAAAAATCAAACCCAGGGCTGCTCTAGGAACAAGGGCCATAGGAGTGTATAAGGTACATTATGAGTGACATAATGAAGCCACCTGTTCCCAAATATCTTCCTCTCTGGCTTTGCCCAGGTACCTGATGTTACCTCATTCTTTGGGGTCATGCTGTTGTCATGGTTCTCAAAATGTGGTCCCTGGACCAGCAGCATCAGGGAACTTTCTAGAAATGCAAATTATTAGCCTCCTGCCCCAGACCTGCTGATCAGAAACTCTGGCTGGGCATAGTGGTGCACAACTGTAGTCCCAGCTAATCAGGAGGCTGAGACAGGAGGATTGCTTGAACCCAGGAGTTTGACACCAGCCTGGACAACATAGCCAGACCCTGTCTCTATTTCAGGGGGTGGGGGGAAGGAAGGAAGGAAGGGAAGAAGGGAGGAAGAAGAAACTCTGGAGTAGGATCCAACTAGACATATATTAAGTCTTCCAATTGATTCTGACGCACTGTCAAGTTTGAGAGCTGTTGCTCTATTGAACTATCAGTAATAATGGGTCGTTATTGGCCACTAAACCCCAATAAGATTAAATTTCAATTTCTTCACAGAACTAGAATAAGTTAGTTTTGATTAAGATAATATGGAAAGGAAAATTCTATACATTTAGGAGAGTGGGATGAGGGGGATGAACTGTGGAGGGTTTCTTTCCCAGTCTACAGGCCACCTACTTAGTAACAAGCCCATATTCCTAGTTTTACTGCGAAGCCCAGTCTTACTATGGTATACTCTCACTCCTTGTCACTCTTCATCATAAAAGCTTGTTTGGGGCACTTTCTTTGTATTTGCTTTTGCTTCCATTGTAATTTATTTGTATTCTGTTTATGAATGCTGCACACACTGATTTGGCTGCTTTCAATCCCAAGTGAGTACCACTTTGTAAACACTGGAATTTAAAAATGTTTTATACTTGGACCCTTTCTGAAATTTTCCATGTTATATTTCTTTCATCTTCTTCTCAACTGACTTTCAGATAAACCCTACAAAGTTTTCAATATGAAAGAATTGATAAGCATAAGCAGAAGACGTCAAAGGTGGTCCGAAGACATTGGGTAGTGAAAAAGACATCTGAACTCCCCAGGCTCAAGCATCAGCCAGGAGTTCTCTAGCATTTGAGCGAGAAGTCCTGAGTCAGCCTTCCTTCCCAGCTTCTCTGTCTCCATCATTAATTGTACATCATGTTCTTTTGGTCACTGATGTGAGGAAAGGCAGTAGATGACCCCGGTTTCTAATAAATGAAGCCTTTCTCAGAACAAGCCTAACAAACCTCTGGGTTTGTAGAGCTTCTAGGAATATTCTGTCCTGGGTCAAGTCAAAATTCCTTAGCCACTCAGCATCAGCTGGCCTGGGACTGAGCAACATAGCTGGGCCCTATAGTCGTATCAGCCCTATGGACAGCCTGTTGGAGGTTGGGAGAAGCCCCAAGACATACCCTTCTTCTTTCTGGGTTTCTAACCAACTGTGGACAGCCAGCAGGAGCCATGTCAGGCTTACACTGCATTTCAGACATATTGCCAGCAAGTTGGCTGGTGGGCCCGCTCCCTCTCTCTCCAGACCTGCTGCCGAGGGACTACTTGGTCTGCCTTCACTGGAGGAGGACGGTGAGGCAGGCCTGGCCTTTGCCTCCAACCTTGCAGTTCAGGAGGAAGAGAGAGGGCAGCAGGCCTTCAAAGCCTGGCTTCCTGTAGGTGGCCACATCCCTGTGGAGCCTGGCCCTATGAATGAGGAACAGGGGAGGCAGGACAGATCACAGAAGTGGGGAGCAGAAGGTCCACATGGAAAGGAGAGATGAGCGACTGGGATTCCTTGAAACTCTCCCTGTAGACCCTCATGTGATTCACATACAATTAGGAACACTGAGGCCAGGGTAGGGAAGTACCCAGCAAGGGATGCAGAGACACCCGCTGAGAGCAGCACATTTGGGTTCCCGATTCTGCTTCAGGGCCTGGACCTTCGTTTAACTTTCCTCAGCTTGCATTTGGCAGATTAGAAAAGATAATATCAAAGCAACAAGTTCTGTCAGGACTAGCTGACTTTTAAGAAAAAGCACATATGGGCCGGACGTAGTGGCTCATGCCTGTAATCCCAGCACTTTGGGAGCCTCAGGTGGGCAGATTACTTGAGGTCAGGAATTCAAGACCAGCCTGCCCAACATGGTGAAACCCTGTCTCTACTAAAAATATAAAAAATTAACCAGGTGCCGTGGCACATGCCTATAGTCCCAGCTGCTTGGGAGGCTGAGGCACGAGAATCACTTGATCCTGGAGGTGGAGGTTGCAGTGAGCCAAGATCACACCACGGCACTCTAGCCTAGGCAAGAGAGCAAGACTCCATCGCAAAAAAAATAAAAGGAGGGCTGGAAGAGAAGGGATGTATCTGTGGAGGTGAACAGGTCAGGGAAGTTTACTCTGTAGAGCTGGGAAGTTTATAGGCTCTGGACCAGCCTTCCTGGGATGGGATCATGGCTCCAAGCATGAGCTATGTGACCTTGGGTGAATTACATAACCTCTCTGGGCCTCAGTTACCTCATCTGTAAAGTGGGCATATTTGGTGAAGATTTGGGAATTAAATACATGGATATATGTAAGGGCTTGGCATAGAGCATGGCATAGAATAAGTTCTTTGAACATTTTTAAGTCTAACAGCCCAGTGACCAGTGAGGATTCTCAAGGCATGTTATCCGCCAGCTTGTCTTAACACTTTGTTGTGACCCCAGACTCCCTGCTTCAATTTTTAAAACAAGCTCTTGTCATCAGGCAGGTGCTGTTCTGGCCCAGCTGCTCTGTCAGAGTTGTGGCCTAGGCTCTGTCCAACCAGGCCTTCCCTAACTGGGGCAAAGTCAGGAAGGTGGAGAGGGAGCTGCTCTCACAATGGAAGCCAGGCATTGGCTCTGAGGAGCTGAAGGGAGATGGGAAGGGGTTGGGAATGCAGCTCCTGGCCCCACAGCTGCTGACCCTGCCCTGTGTCATGTGCTTATCCACAGTGAATACAACCGTGTTCAATGCTTCAGCCCCACTGGCACCAGACACCAACGCTTCTCTGGTAAGTCCTTTCCTCTTATGTCAGATGTTTGAGTACTTTTGTTTGTAGGAGGAATGAGAAAACATTTTGGAAATGAGACCAACTATGGCCACCCAGACTTGCAGAGGTCAGCTCCAGCCATACATCAGGGTCACCTGCAGAACTTTGTAAATGCACACTTTTTTTTTAAGGTATACACTGTAAACATCCCACTTAAAAACATGCCTTTCTCTTAACTCCATGTTTTTGTTTTTGTTTTTGTTTTGGCTTTTTTGGGTGTGTGTGTGGGTTTTTTTGTTTTTTGTTTTTTTTTTTTTTTTTTTTTGAGAGGGAGTCTCACTCTGTCACCCAGGCTGGAGTGCAGTGGCACAATCTTGGCTCACTGCAACCTCCACCTCCCAGGGTAGAGACAGGGTTTCACCATGTTGGCCAGGCTGGTTTCGAGATGGGGTTTCACCATGTTGCCCTGGTTGGTCTCGAACTCCTGGGCTCAAGTGCTGGGATTACAGAAGAGAACCACTGTGCCCAGCCCCATGTGTATTAATAATATGATACCAGCTGGGTGTAGTGGCACACACCTATAATCCCAGCTACCTGAGAGGCTGAGGCACAAGAATTGCTTCACCCCAGGAGGCGGAGGTTGCAGTGAGCCAAGATCGTGCCACTGCACTCCAGCCTGGGTGACAGAGTGAGACCTGGTCTCAAAAATAATACTGATAATATGACACACACACAAAGGAAGGGGAGGTAGAGGTGAGGAACGGTAAATAGGGCTGCACAAAGCTTTAAGCAAAGTCTCCCATTCATCTTTCTGCCTTCTTCCTTCTCTTTCTCCCTAGGACCCCCAATTCCCAACAGTGCCACTCTCCAGCCCCAGAGAATTTATTAGTGTTCCTTCCTCAATGAATCGAATGTGTCCTTTGCACAACCTTAGTCTCTGGGGCCTAAGGTATGGTCTACCTTTTCAATAATGACAGTAGTCTTCAGGAGCCAGCATCCTAGCCATAGTGGCTTAATGATAGGAAGTTCAATTCCAGATGAAGGTAGCACCTGGTAGGACTTGGGGGACATTTGTGAGCTTTTACTCTCCCCAAGATTGCTTCTTAAGTTATTCCTGCCTAGGCAGTTGACTGCTCTGCCTACACACATCCCAGTTCGCAATTTAACTTAATATTTTTCAAAGATCAGGGGTTTTTGCCCAGGCTGGAATGTAGTGGAATGATTATATTATCACTGCAGCCTCAAATTCCTGAGCTCAAGTGATCTTCTTGCCTCAGCCTCCTTAGTAGCTAGGACTACAGGCATCAGCCACCATGCCCAGCTAATTTTTAAATTTTTTGTAAAGACAGGGTCTCACTATGTTGCCCAGGCTGGCCAAATATCTATTTTCAGAGAGAAAGAACAGAATCAGTCAGTGCCTATTTCTGAATCCCTATTATATGCAAGGTGCCGTGTGCACTGAAGGTTAAAAAAGACATCTGAGAAACCAACACGGTCCCTGTCCTCAAATTTGTTTTTAATATATTTGTGAAAAAGAACCTGAAAAGTTATAGGACAGCATAAGCAGAATGCACCATGCATTAAATATAGGCCAAATGTGTACTTCAATCTTGAAGGCAGGAAAGAAGGCTGCTGGAGGAGCCAAGGAAACCCTCAAAGAGGAAGTAGAATGCAACCTGGTCTTCAAGGTTGGGGAAAAGTTGGCTCAGCAGAGAAAAGCACATTCCAGAGTGAAGGAATAGCATAGACAGAAGGGCAAGAGAGGAAAACACAAAACCTGTGCAGAGGCTAGTGGGTGGGCTAGGCCAGCTAAGGTGGGGTTCGGGTGGGGCTCGGACAGGGAACCACAAGAGACAAGCTGGGAAAGGGATGTGGGGCCAGACCAGGGAGGGCAGCAGAGGAATGCTACCCTGGAGGGAACACTTTAAGTTGCTTTGGTGATTGAGGGATGAGCTAACACTCAGTAGACAGGGCCCAGAATGCAAGACAGTCCTATATGGAACAGTTGTGTGCCATGAAGAACAGTTTCTGACTTCCTTACTTGTATCAGCTGTCTATTGCTGCATAACAACTATCCTCAAATTTAGTGGGCAAAATCAGCAGCAGTTGCAATTATAATCCTCATGACTCTGAAGGTTGGCTGGCTGTTCTTTTTTTTTTTTTTTCTTTTTGAGACAGAGTCTTACCGTCACCCAGGCTGGAGTACAGTGTTGCGATCTTGGCTCACTGCAACCTCCTCCACCTTGGTTCAAGCAATTCTCCTGCCTCAACTTCCCAAGTATCTGGAATTACAGGCATATGCCATCGCACCCAGCTAATTTTTGTATTTTTGTAGACACAGGGTTTCACCATGTTGGCCAGGCTGGTCTCAAACTCCTGACCTCAAGTGATCTCCCCACCTCAGCCTCCCAAAATGCTGAGATTGCTGGTGTGAGCCACCATACCTGGCCAATCTTAGGAATATATATATGTATATATAATTTATATATAAAAATTCACTGTTGTGTATGCCCTGGATTTTAGGCATCTGGGACACCAAGGTGGGGAGGGGCTGAAATGATTCAAGAGGGGAATGAAAAAGGAATGTGAGCCCTCATATGTGAAAGGGTGGGACAGAGGGGATGGAGGGGAGAGAATAAAGATGAGACACTCCAGGAAGGAGGTGCGACAGGACCTGTGGTTGGTTGATGGGAGCCAGGCCTGCTGATGGGGAAGGCATCCTCCCTCTGCACTTTTCCTCCTTGATAGCACAGCAGTGCATCTTAGAACACAATGAAGAAACACATGTGAGCTCCTAATCTTCCCAGGGAGCTTGTCATTCCTTGAATCAGCTGGTCCCCAGGAACATCACTCTGTTGCTGAGGTCACCATCATGGACAGGAGGGCTGGGGTCCCTCAGAGGGTGGGAAGGTATGCCGACTGCCTGGGAACTGCTGGGGGAAGGACACAGCTGACCCACCAGGAAGATGCTGACCCATTCTCTCCTGTGCTTGGTCTCCAAGTACAACCCCCTTAACCTCACAGCGCTGGACTGGTCCCTATTGAGCAAGAAAGAGTGTCTGAGCTATGGCGGGCGCCTGCTTGGGAACTCCTGCAAGTTTATCCCAGACCTGGCGCTCATGTCCTTCATCCTTTTCTTTGGGACATACTCCATGACCCTGACCCTGAAGAAGTTCAAATTCAGCCGCTATTTTCCTACTAAGGTAAGCATATCCTGCTGTTAGGAGGGGACCTGCAGTCAGACCGCTGCTGCATTCCCCAGAGAGGGTTCTGGTCCACTGTCAGGATGGACTCCATGTGAGCACTGGCTCACTGGGGTTTTTCAAGTTAAGTCAGAGAGAACTGTGTTACCTTGTTGGCCAGTCCTCTTGACAACACTTGGTATCATCAGGCTTTTATCTTTAGTCTTTTTGTACAGTAGTATCTCGGTTTTTTGTTTTTTTAATTTTTCACTTTCCTGATGATTAATGAAAGTGAAAACACAGCTATTCCTGTACTTACTGACCATATGGCCAGCTGACTTTCTTTTTGGAAGTATCTATTGAAATCTCTTGCACATTTTCTTTTTTTTTCTTTCTTTTTTTTTTTTTTGAGATGGAATCTCACTCTGTCTCCGAGGCTGGAGTGCAGTGGTGCGATCTCGGCTCACTGCAACCTCTGTCTCCCAGGTTCAAGTGATTCTCCTGCCTCAGCCTCCTGAGTAGCTGGGATGACAGGCACTTGCCACCACGCCAGCTTAATTTTTGTATTTTTAGTAGAGACAGGGTTTTACTATGTTGGCTAGGCTGGTCTCAAACTCCTGACCTCAAGCGATCTGCCCGCCTTGGCCTCCCAAAGTGCTGGGATTACAGGCATGAGCCACTGCACCTGCCTCTTGCACATTTTCTGTTGGTTTGTCTGCCTTTCTGATTTGCAAGAGTTCTTTATATATTTTGGGTAGAAATGTTTTTGTGACTATATGTGTTGTGAAATCTTCTCCCACTCTGTAACTGTTTTTTTCTTTTTACATCCTTAATAGTATCTTTTGATTAACAGAAATTCTTAGTTTTATTGTAATTGAATATATGAAACTTTCCTCAAGGAAAATATTGGACAGAAGATATTCTTGTATGTTGCCTTCTAAAAGCTTCATTGTTTTTCCTTTCATGTTAGATATACAATCCATCAGAACTGATTTTGATGTAGACTGTGAGATACTGTTTCTTTGTGATTTTATATAAATAGTCAATTGTTCCAGTATTTTTAAAAGACCATTCTTTCTCCATTGCTTTGCAATACTTCCTTTGCTATATATAAAATATTCCTATATGTCAGGGTCTGTTTCTGGGTTCTTTATTCTGTTTTACCAGTTTATTTATATATCAGTATCACAGTCTTCATTTCTGTAGCTTGTAAGTCTCCCAAACTCTCTCTCTCTTTGTCCTTTTTTTTTTTTTTTTTTTTGAGACGGAGTTTCGCTCTTGTTACCCAGGCTGGAGTGCAATGTCGTGATCTCGGCTCACCGCAACCTCCACCTCCTGGGTTCAGGCAATTCTCCTGCCTCAGCCTCCTGAGCAGCTGGGACTACAGGCACGCACCACCATGCCCAGCTAATTTTTTGTATTTTTAGTAGAGACGGGGTTTCACCATGTTGACCAGGATGGTCTCGATCTCTTGACCTCGTGATCCACCCGCCTCGGCCTCCCAAAGTGCTGGGATTACAGGCTTGAGCCACCGCGCCCTTCCTCTTTGTCCTTTTTATATAATATTTTCTTGGCCCTTTCCATTTCCACATGAATTTTAGAATCATCTTAAATTTCACCAAAATAAAAACTTGTTGGAATTTTGATGGGATTATCTTGACTCTGTATGTCAATTTGGGAAGAATTTACATCTTTCAAATTTTGAGTGTTCTGATTTATGAGTGTGGTATACTTCATTTATTTTGGTCTTCTTTCTCTCCATAATGTTTTATATGTTTTGATCTTGAAGTCTGGAACATTTTTTATTAGATTTATTCCTAGGTACTTGATTTTTTTATACTATCATAAAAGCTAACTGCTATTTTATTTTTTAATTATTATTTTTTTGAGACAGAGTCTCACTCTGTCACCCAGGCTGGAGTGCAGTGGCGCGATCTCAGCTCACTGCCACCTCCATCTCCCAAGTTTAAGTGATTCTTCTGCCTCAGCCTCCCGAATAGCTGGGACTACAGGCGACTACCACCACGCCCAGCTAATTTTTGTATTTTTACTTGAGACCAGGGTTTCACCATGTTGGCTAGTCTGGTCTTGAACTCTTTACCTCAGGTGATCTGTCCACCTCAGCCTCCCAAAGTGCTGGGATTACAGGTGTGACCCACGGCACCCAGCCTTAACTACTGTTTTAAATTTTATTTTCTATCTGTTTGTGGCTGGAATAAAACATTTATTAATCAAAACAGCACTTGCATATGTAAGCAGTGACTACGCCCTGGTGGGCATACTCGGAAGAATCTTAGCAACACCTTCCCATCGTAAACTCTATTACACTCCCCTAAAGCCATCTAACTAAATATTGCAGCTGCTACTGCTTCTAATCATAATGATAAAATATCTGCTGTAAATAGTTGAATTATTCTCAAATTTCCTAAAGACTGAAAAAAAGGTACCCTAGGGAGCTTCGTAGTATATAAAAAAAATAATTTGCTTACAGCACAAGTGCATCCTCAAGACAAGTTCTCTTCCTTCCTCCCCACTTCCAGCCCAGAGCATATCCCTAAATCTCCTCTTATGTAAAAATTCTCAAGCAGTCACTGTATCTGAAAATATCTGTTGCCTGAAGGATAAAAAGTAATTCATATAGCATGAAGTTCTTGCATCACCAACTTTTTTTCCCCTCATATTACTTAAAAGTTGCTCAGTTGCCTCCTGGCATTTTGGGTTGCAGAGAGGAATGAGGCCACACCATTTCATACTCATCAGATTGGAAGATAAAGATCTCAGGACACCAGATGTTGGAGATGAAAAGCAGTAGGTAGAAGTGTAAACAGATACATCAGAGCAACTGGCACTCTCTGATTAGGTTGGACCATGTGAATTGCCCATATCTGGTTGTTTTGACATACAAAAAATGGCAAATTCATGTGGTTTAACTTAATAACCATTCATGTGGTTTTGACCTGTATGCTAGGAATATTATAGAAAAGGAAGTATAAACCTAGAACACTACTTGGTTCTTCTGTGACTAATATTTATATGATCATAATAATATAAAGCTATTATTAATTTTCAACTTTTGGAATTGACTTAGATAAAACACACAAGGCATGTGTTTACAGAACAAGATATGAGTGTTCTCAGCTTTGACAGTGGAAAGGTCAAAGTGGAGGTATCACAGGAAGGAAGAGAGAAGGGGAAGAGAGAGGAGGTAGGAGGATAAAAGCAGTGGTCCTCACCTTGCAAGATGGAGAATGAGAGATATTAGCCAAAGCTAACGGAAAGAGAGGTTTCATTATATAACATTAAAGTACAAAGGAAACCCATAGGAGCTTAAAATTAACCATCAAAGATTAAAAATAAGGAAAGGACAGGAGGCATAGTGTAAGTAAAGCTAAATTCTTATCGATAGAAAATCCCTTAAATTAGTAAATGAAAATATTAAAGTATATGCATATTAGTTAATGATATGGAGGGAACCTCCAGAACAAGTAAAGTTAAGCAGACATAGTGGGTGGATCTGGAAGGTGGGGCTGGATCGAGAAAAGGGGAGGCGGGAGACTTTGCTTTTCCCTTAAGTCTTTTTCCACTCTGTGGGTTTTTAACCAATTACAGATATTATGTTAATAAAAATTTAAAGAGAAGAAGGGAATGCAGGGAATGAAGTCAATGTACTGTCACCTGCCCCTGCCCTTCAAATTGACTTCTCTGAAAAGATATAAAAATGGCCACAGGGTAGACATGGGGAGACCCTCTGCCATGAGACTTCTAGACATAGAATTGGTTTGGAGAGAGGTTGAAGGACATTGATTCAGAATGGGCAGGAAGGTCAGGTTTAGAACTTCGTCTAGGAAGAGCCTCCAAGTTCAGAACCTGGCCTAGAAGGGCCTCCTGAGAAACAGAGGAACAAGAGGCTCTTGGTGGACAAAAGGTCTGAGAATAGCCAATGGTCCCAGTGGAATTGGGGAGCCTCCCTCCCAGCCCAGGTGGGGTACGATAACCTGTCACAGGTTTGTAGGAGCTAAGGTTTGCTTCAGAGTTCAGCCTTTGCCCTCATCACACCTGCTGGATAAGAGTCATTACACCTCTCGAGCAGAGTACAGATTCGAGCCTAGACTGTAACAGTTCACCTCTTTGCTGCCTGAGGACTGGGGCTACCTGGAGCTGGGTGGGTGCTTCACTCACTTGCTTTCACTTGCTTATCTCCTGTCTGCAGGTCCGGGCCCTGGTGGCTGACTTTTCCATTGTTTTCTCCATCCTGATGTTCTGTGGAATCGATGCCTGTTTTGGCCTGGCAACCCCCAAGCTGCACGTGCCCAGTGTCATCAAGGTTTGCCCCTTGCCTGCCCACCAGCTGCAGATTCTTTCCCCTCTGTGCTGATCAAACTCTCTTCTCTCAGCCAAGAGACCATGTTAGTTCTCTGTCTGTGCACCACCTTTCCTGAACACTGGCTCCCAGGAGCTGATCCTTTGAGGTAGGGTGGGGAAGGGTGACATATTCACCGTGAAATCCTGATCTGTAGCCATGAGGTGACGAAAGCACTGGAATTCACCCTCCAACCCAGTGGAAGCCTCTTGATTCCTGCTTGAAGGTCTCCAGTTCCCTGACCTCTGGCACTCTACAAGCTGACCCAAATAGAATCTGTTGAAACTGAACCCTTAGAATAGTGATTCTCAAAGTGTGATCTTCAGACCAATATCACAGCATCGCAGTCAAGGGGAACTCATTAGAAATGCAATTTCGCAGCCCCACCTGTGGAATCAGAAAAGCTAGGGGGTTGAACCAGCAATCTGCATTTTAACAAGCCCTTCAGGTGACCTAGAGTATGTTCAAGTTTGAGAACCACTGCTTAGAAATTACTCACTTGTCCAGAATCGGTGACATATACTTGTAGCTAAACTCAGAACTACTCCCTCATAAGAGCAACAACCATCTCACCAGAGTATGAAGTCCAGATGTCCAGATTTTAGAACTTCCTCTCCCTGTCTTTAAGGTCTTTTTTTTTTTTGGCAAAGTCTCACTCTGTTGCCCAGGCTACATTGCAGTAGTGCAGTCACAGCTCACTGCAGCCTCAACCTCCTGGACTCAAGTGATCCTCCTGCCTCAGCCTCCCAAATAGCTGGGACTATATAGGTGCATACCACAACACCCGGCTAATTTTTGTATTTTTTTGTAGAGATGGAGTCTCCCTATGTTGCCCAGGCTGGTGTTTAACTCCTGGGCTCGAGTGATCCTCCTGCCAAAGTGCTGGGATTACAGGCATGAACCACCCTACTCAGCTTCTGAGGTCTTGACCTTCAAGACATTATTGTTTCAGGATTCTCCTAAGGAGCTTAAACACATCTCATTTAACTCACATTGGCCTGGAAATTAAAGTAACTCTTTTTTTTTTTTCTTAAATAAAAAAAAGATAAAGCTCCTGCACAGATAGTTCCTCATCCTTAACATGCAGAACTGAACTGATGGTCAGCATTCTGCAGACAATTCTAGAATGCTCCCATACAGGTGACTCAGGAGAGGCAGAAGCTGTTGGCCCTGAGCCCACCCATTTCTTTATTTTCTGTTGGGCCTCATTTCTGCTGTTTGTTATTTGTAGTGAGTGCATTCTTTCTCCTGGCTGGCCTCTGATCCACACCTCCACGTTTCCTGCCCAATCTCGGGGCTATTGCAGCAAACTACCTCCTTAGTTTTACAGACACTGTCTGCATACATGCTCCTTCCCATGTCTGAATTTAGTCTAAAGTTGCAGGTACCTAATGTGTTTAAGGGAAAAGATTTCACTTGAAAAGTACCCCAGATCAGGGAAAGTCGAGGAGGTGGGACAGCAGGCCAGGTGGCAAGTGCCCTGGGACAAGCGAGAGAGGAATGGGCCCCTCTCTGTTTGCTCCCACTTAGCCCACACGGCCTGACCGAGGCTGGTTCGTGGCCCCCTTTGGGAAGAACCCGTGGTGGGTATACCCAGCGAGCATCCTGCCTGCCCTGCTGGTGACCATCCTGATCTTCATGGACCAGCAGATCACTGCCGTCATTGTCAACCGGAAGGAGAACAAGCTGAAGGTAAGGCCGGTACTAGGAGCAGAGGGTTAACCACTTTCTTCTCAGAAACTCAGAAGGAGCAAAGGAAGAACATGATACTTCTTTCAATGCTTTGGACCAGGAAAATATGAGGACAGAAGACTGGAGTTCCCACTTGGTGTGTTGAGGGGGAAATGTGACCTCCAGATGTGGGTAAGGCCACCAGGGCTGGTGTGACTTTCTGAGGACCAGGAGCAAACTAGGCTGAGCCACTGGGCACAGGCTCCCTGTCTTTCCCAAAGTGGCCTTGAGTTCTTATCTCCCAACATGAACCTGAAAATCAGCAGATCCTGATGGGGGCACAGCCTAGAACACTGAGGCAGAGGAACTTCCTTAGCCTTCCTGGTCTCTACAACTCCCCACCCAGCCTGTGAGCCTGAGAAGACTTGGGCCACTCCCTTCCCCATCTCAGTCTGGACCACTCTAGGTGTGGCCTATGCCAGCTGCAGTGCCTCACTCAGGAACTGCAGAGACCGAGACCCTGTGGCCACTTTCTGGGCTCTTCTCCCCAGAGATCCAAACCCAGGGCCTCTCCAAGTTTGAGCATCCCTCTCTTCTATCACCTATGTCCCTTAGGCAGCTCACCCTTTCAGACGGGGTGGTGGTGGGATCCACCCACCTCTGCAGTCCTTGCAAGGTGCACCTCAGGCCTCGTCAGTATCTCTGGAAGGCAGGGGGAGCCCTTGAACAATGTTCCACAGAATGGCTGCTTCCAGGAGGAACCGGCTCCCCAGAAACTTCTCCCTCCCCTCCCCCACCCCTGCAGAAGGCAGCTGGCTACCATCTGGACCTGTTCTGGGTGGGCATCCTCATGGCCTTATGCTCCTTTATGGGGCTCCCCTGGTATGTGGCTGCCACGGTCATCTCCATTGCCCACATCGACAGCCTCAAGATGGAGACGGAGACCAGCGCCCCTGGGGAGCAGCCCCAGTTCCTGGGAGTCAGGTAGGAAGGGTCAAAGCCTAGGGAATACCCGACAGGGAGGGGTTCACTCAGGGAGGGGAAGCTGGCTTTGCCTGTCTCACCAAAGGATTTGGACAAAAAGGGCCCATGCTCTGACGGCCCAAGGACCACAGGGACAGGAGTGCTATCCCTGGAGGGAGGGAAGGAGAGAGATAGAAGTCCAACTCTAAGTGGGGCTTTTTACCTACTAGACTCCAAGCAGTATGCATACCCCAGCCATAAACATACACGGACATGCACACCAGACACTCACCTGCATCGGCCATCCAAGGTCCCACACAAGGCCTCGTGCTGTCCTGACCTTTTTCTCTTCCTCAAGACCCTGCAGGTCCCTGCTGCACCGACGGCCCTCCTTGGGCTCAGGTCTTGCTTGGTCTCCTCAGAAGGCTATCCCAGGACCACCCTTGCTCCCCAGTCTGTGGCTCTGCCTGTTACTCCTGTTCCTTCACTTGCCCCTTCTCTCATGTGCCATGTTAGGTAGAGAAGTGCATCTTAAGCCCCTTAGGACCTCCAAGATGAAACCACACCAAACCCTGGTGTTCTCCTCCGTGACTGCCCTAAGTACTTCTCCCACGATCTCGGGATACCTGGACCGCCCATCCTGCCCGAATGAGGCTTCTCTGCCCACCTGCAGGGCTCACTTGTCTCCCACCCCTGACACCTGTTCTGCTGGTAGCCAGACCCCTTTCTCCAGATCCTCAATCATTGTGCCCCACAAAAGCGAGATCTTACAATCAAAGGACAGAGTAATAGCATTTATCTCGAATGTATCCTCAACAATAGGTGCCACTATTACTGCATATACTGAGGCTCAAGATGGGCAGAGCCCTGCCCAATGCCACATAGCTAGCTAGTGGCAGAGCCGGGATCCAGCCCACATCAGTTCTGCTCAGGTACCCCAGCTATGAGCCACTACACTGAACAGCCCTCAGTGCCCCTGCAAGATACCCCCTCCACAGTCAGGGGCCGCCTGTCTTCCCACATATGGTTCAGCTGGGCTTCAGGGAACCAGGCAGAGCTCCATGCAGGAGACCTCGAGGCCATGGCCTTGGACACAAGCTTCAGGTGCCCACAGAGGGGCAGGCATTTCCTGGTACAACCTGACCATGTGCTCTTCTCTGCCAGGGAACAGAGAGTGACCGGCATCATCGTCTTCATCCTGACGGGAATCTCTGTCTTCCTGGCTCCCATACTGAAGGTGAGGCCCTGCACTCTCACCCAGGGCCTCATCGTCTAAGAAAGCAGAGTGAATGCCTCAGGCAGGGAGAGGGTCTCCACATAGCTAGGGATCACTGGTCTATCGGCCCCCTAAGAAAGGCACAGTCTTCACTGGGCGCAGTATCTCACACCGGTAATCCCAGCAGTTTCGGAGGCTGAAGCAGGCGAATCACCTGAGGTCAGGAATTCAAGACCAGCCTGACTAACATGGTGAAACCCCGCCTGTACTGAAAATACAAAAATTAGGCGGACGTGGTGACGCATGCCTAAAATTCCAGCTACTCAGGAGGCTAAGGCAGGAGAATCGCTTGAACCCAGGAGGCGGAGGTTTTGGTGAGCCAAGATTGCGCCATTGCACTCCAACCTGGACAACAAGAGTGAAACTCCACATCAAAAAGAAAGAAAGAAAGAAAAAAGGCACAGTCTTATTAGGCCAAAGTCATGTTTCCACACTGTCACCATTGTTTTCTGTGATACTGCAGTTGTTGTTGTTTTGTTTTGTTTTGTTTTGTTTTTTTGAGACAGAGCTTCACTCTCATTGCCCAGGCTAGAGTGTAATGGCATGATGTCGGCTGACCACAACCTCTGTCTCCTAGATTCAAGCGATTCTCAGCCTCTCGAACAGCTGGGATTACAGACATGCGCCACCACACCCGGCTAATTTTGTGTTTTTAGTAGAGACAGGGTTTCTCCGAGTTGGTCAGGCTGGTCTTGAACTCCCAACCTCTGGTGATCTGCCCACTTCAGCCTCCCAAAGTGCTGGGATTACAGGCATGAGCCACCACGCCCGGCTGATATTGCAATTTTTTATCATCACCAATCCTCTCTCCCACCCCTCCCAGGGCCTTTCTCACCTTTCCGGAGGATACTCTTCTCTCCAAACATTCTGCCAATTTCTAGCCCTGCTTAGATCAGAAACTTCCTGAATGGGGTGTGTGTCCACATTGCTGTGGTTTGGGGCTCATGAAGTTTAAAACTTGCAGTGGGAGGCCAAGCATGGTGGTACATGCCTGTAGTCCATCTACTCAGGAGGCTGTGGCAGGAGGATCACCTGAGTTCAGGAAGTCTTGGGACTTGGGTGACTTTTCCCTACCCAGCTTGAAGCTCCTCTTGCTCATGTCCCACCACAACAGCTAAGAGACTAAATCAAATAGGGGTACAATGGAGGCAGGCATCCCCCACAAGAGTCTCTTTCTGGAGAGACTCCAGAAAGCAAGGTGTTCCCAGCAGGTTTCCCTGCTCTCCACTCCAGCCAATCGTCCATCAGTCTCCCTTTCCCTTGATCAGTGCCCACACAAGACCTTCCTTTCTTGAATTAAGTTTACCTATAATTGCCTCAACCTTTTGCCAATACTATTTTCCTTCTTTGAATATCTCAAAATAGCTCATAACCAGGCATGGTGGCTCACGTCTGTAATCCCAGGACTTTGGGAGCCCAAGGAGGATCACTTGAGGCCAGGAGTTCAAGATCAGTCTGGGCAACATAGCAAGACACCCCATCTCTACAAAAATTACAAAAATTAGCCAGGCATGATGGTTCATGCCTGTGGTCCCAGCCACTAGGGAGGCTGGGGCATTAAGATCACCTGAGCCCAGGAGGTCAAGGCTTCAGTGAGCCGTGATCATGCCACTGCACTCCAGCTAGGGCAACAGAGTGAGACCTTGTCTCAAAATTTTAAAAAATTCATTCAGAGGTGACCTTTTAGAAACAAAGGCTAAAGAATCATTATGCTAGCTGATGTGTTTACAGTGGAAAATATTTCTGGCTTGAGAATTGGTGCTGGGCATACCTGAGCAGTAGGTAGGAGGTTGTATTTTTTAAGGAATATTTCCCTTGTGGGGGAAACAAATTACACACAGGAGGGCAAGCATTCTGTTTATTTAAAGATATATTTTAAATGGCCAGGGACTATTTACTTTTGTAGAGAGGGTTCCATTGTGTATGTCTATTTTGACACTGTTTAACATACAACTATTTGCATTAAAAAGCTTGAATCGGGCTTGGCATGGTGGTTCAAGGCTGTAATCCCAGCACTCTGGGAGGCTGAGGCAGGTGGATCACCTAAGGTCAAGAGTTCAAGACCAGCCTGGCCAACATGGTGAAACCCCATCTCTACTAAAAATACAAAAATAACCATGTGTGGTGGCACACACCTGTATCCCAGCTACTCAGGAGGCTGAGACAGAAGAATTGGTTAAGCCCAGAAGGCGGAGGCTGCAGTGAGTTGAGATCCCACCACTGCACTCCAGCCTGGGCAAGACAAAGTGAGATTCTGTCTCAAAAAAAAAAAAAAATCCGAATCTGCCAGGCATGGTCACTTACATCTGTAATCCTAACACTTTGGGAGGCTGAGGTGGGAGGATCGCTTGAGGCCAATAGTTTGAGACCAGAATGGCCAACATAGCAAGATTCTGTTTCAAGAAAAAAAACAAAAACAAAAACAAAAACTCAAATCTAAGAACAGCATTCTTTAGGGGCCAAAAATTCCTCTAAAGCCCTTTTAGTGTTGGCATAGTGCTCTGTGTGCTCCAGAGTGCTCTGACATGACTGCAAGGAGGAGCATCCTCTGCTCACCGTGGGGAATCACAGCTGCAGGTGAAGAAGAGGCGACAGGCAGAAATAGACAGCGGAAGAATGCTTTGAAAGGCTGTGAAAGATTTGGAATCACTCTTGTAGAGTGGGATGAATTCCATGATCCCATGTTTGAAAAAGCAAACAAGCTGCCTGTGTGCAAGTTTGGAGGGAAGGGTACCCACCAAACTATTTGTGGTTAGTTGGTGACGAGTGCTGATTAGTTTACACACTTCTGTTTTGCTTCCTTTTTATGTGATTATGTATGATGCAAGATTTCTTTTTTTTTTTTTTTTTTTTTTGAGATGGCGTCTCTGTCACCCAGGCTGGAGTGCAGTGGCATGATCTCAGCTTACTACAACCTCCATCTCTTGGGTTCAAGTGATTCTCCTGCCTCAGCCTCCCAAGTTGCTGGGATTACAGGCATGTACCACCATGCCTAGCTAATTTTTTTTTTTTTGCATTTTTAATAGAGATGGGGTTTCACCATGTTGGCCAGACTGGTCTTGAACTCCTGACCTCGGGTCATCCAGCCGCCTGGCCTCCCAAAGTGCTAGGGCTACAGGTGTGAGCCACCATGCCTGGCCTGATGTGTGATTTCTGTTAAGTGTCCTTGGTATTCCCTGCTGATGTAGGTCAGCTCATTAAAGGTCCCCACACCCCTGCAGGCTGAGCAGCTTTAGGGGGCCCTCAGCTGAGGCTGGAGGTAGGAAAAAGCTGTCAGGAATGAGAAAGGGGCAGTCTGTGATGCCTTCTCACTTTCCAGAAGGTGTTTCTTCAGCCAGTCCACATGGCTTCTATATGGCACAAGGGCACAATGAGGGGCCAGGCCAGGAGAGCAGCCACATGCCGGGCCAGGCACCCCTGCCAGAGAAGGGGCAGTACAGTCCCAGTGACCCTCATCACCCCCGTCCACACCCTAGCTCTGCTGACTCTCGGTTCCCCCAAACATCCAGCTCCTCAGCTGCCTCTGTAGTCAGGAGACACTGTCATCCAGAACAGGAAGGCCAAGGGCCCGCCCCAGGCAGAAGCCAATCCAAAGTTCTGCTCTCATTTTAGTGCATCCCCCTGCCGGTGTTGTACGGAGTCTTCCTCTACATGGGCGTGGCCTCCCTGAATGGCATCCAGGTAAGGCTTTCCCTCCCCAGTCTGCATACCTGGAGTCAGCATTCCATGTCTGGTTCCATGTCACCAAGACCCCCCAATTCAGTTGTCCCCATTGTCCCCAATTGTCCTAATTCAATGAAAGAACAATAGTAATGATACTGTCGCTTACTGATACTACCAGGCAAAATAACTATGCTAGGCACTTCATCGGCCTTATATAATTTAATCTATGTAATTAGGTTATCTGATCCCCATTTTACAGTTGGGGATGGGAGGGTCAGAATTCAAAATCCAGAAGGAGATGACTCCAGTGAGCATTTCACTGTACCTCTCTCTCTTCCCTAAGGCAACTACACAGAAGAAAACATTTTTGTTTTGTTCTGTATTTACCATGAAATCCCAGAATTCTTAAACAGTTTGTGTTACAATTAACTTGCACTTTCCTTGAATATGGACAGTGTTCATTTTGTAGCCAGCTCCAGGCTCTTCCCCTCACCCAGGTCTCAGGATCCTTTCTCTAAGACCCCATTATGTATCTGTCTAGACACCTCCAGCTCCCCTCCTGTGCATCCTTAAGGCCGGAGCAGGGGTTTTCCCCTCTGAGACCCCACCCAGGAACCCCTTTCCCTAGTAGTGGGGCCCAGCAGGCCCTCAGAGCCCAGCTACCTGGCTGAGCCCACACTGTCCCCCCAGTTCTGGGAACGCTGCAAGCTCTTCCTGATGCCGGCCAAGCACCAGCCGGACCACGCTTTCCTGCGACACGTGCCGCTGCGCCGGATCCACCTCTTCACCCTGGTGCAGATCCTCTGCCTGGCCGTACTCTGGATCCTCAAGTCCACGGTGGCTGCCATCATCTTCCCAGTCATGGTAAAGTGGGTGCGGGCTTCCCCCTCCTGCCCAGCAGGTTGGCCTGGGCAAGAGGTGCAGCTCAACCTCCCCTCCCACCACCTGCCTTCCCGTCAGCTGTGGCCTGGTTCCCTCGGGTCACAGAGGCTGGCACAGAATGACCCGATTCGAATTGTGAGTCCAGGTCAGATGGTGTGGGGTGGGGCAGAGAGGAGGCGGAGGAAGGAATGTCAGGGCCGCTCAGCAAGAATGCAAGAGTCACCCAACCTCCTGGCTCCAGGGAGGGACAGAGAAAGCAAATCAGTTCAATCAGGAGTTCCCACTGCCAAAATTCCAACCAGTCTCAGAAGTCAATACGTGCTAAATATAGATCTTTCCATCACTCAAGGTAGCTAAATTTGAAAAGCTAAATAGTGAAGTAGGGGGGTAGGGGAAGAACTAGGGTCAGAGATCAAGAACGTCAAAACCCAGTGACAATATATATAAAGCCTGAGCTCGGGAAAGGTTACAGTTCTTTCACTATTCTTGCAAATATTATATAAGTTTGAAATTATTCCAAAATAAGAAGTAAAAAGAACACAAAACCAAAAACACGTTGCATTTGCCCTCTAAACTCACCGAGGGCACTGGCCCAGGCCCTTGCCAGGCACCTGGAGTGTGTCAGCAAATGTCTGGGGAAAGCCTGAGGGCTCTGGGGTAGGGGCCAAAGTAAGTACACTGAGGGGAACTTGGAGTGCGCACTCCTGGGAGGGCCTAGTCAACGGTCTCAACCCTGACTGCCCATGAAAATCAACCCAGACCACTCAAATCAGAATCTCTGGGACATCCAGACTTTGGTATTTTTATGGTCTACAGGTAAGCATAAATGTGTAGCCAGGGTTGAAAACCCCCACTGCAGGGAAAGGGAGATAGATCCTCCCCCTAGTGCCCTCATGGGCCTCAGAGCTGGTGAGGGGAAAGGCAGTAGCAGTCTTGATTAGCCTTTACTGAGTGCTGTTCCATTGAGTCCATACCAGCCCCCAAAGCACTAGTAACCCCGCTTTACAGATGAGAAAGTGAGGCTCAGAGAGCATGAGTGAGTAAATCTGGACACACAACCAGACAGGGCAGAGTAAGACCCACATCCCCCACCTATTGATTTTTTTGCTGTTGAATTTGCATACAGTAAAATTGAGTGTGTGATTCTATGAGTTTTGGCAAATGAACAGAGTGGTAGTTTCACCACCAGTCACAATACAGAACAGCTCCAAAAGTTCCCTCTTGCTGCCCCTATACAGACAGCCTCTCTTGCCACCCTTCCCGCTAGCAACCACCAAGTTGTTTTCAGAGCCAGGATTCTTAAAACCCAGGTCTGTCTGACCCTCTCAGGCTGTACTTGCTCCCAAGTAGTGTCAGGGAGGAACCAGTATCGAATCAAGATGAATGTTCTTATTGGGGAAAGAACAAAAAATTTGAATCCTCCCCAAAGAGCACTGCTTGTCCTTTAATTTCTTCATCCTGAACAGAACCAATTTTCTAAGCTTTCCCTTTAAAAATCCAGTTATTACAGTATACTTTATCCAACTTCTGTTAACAAAGAGGGCAGCAGCTCTCAGAATTGGAGGCAGAAGGACAGTGGGTCTCAAAGTGTGACCTCTGGACCAGCAGCATCAACATCACTGAGAAACTGGTTAGAGACATAAATTCTTGGGCCTTACCTGACCTGCTAAATCAGAAACTGGGGGGATCCAGCAATTTGTGTATTAACAAGCCCTCCAGGTCCTGGTGCATGCTGAAGTTTGAGAACCAGTAATTTATTGTTTATTATTATTTTTTGAGACAGAGTCTTGCTCTGTTGCACAGGCTGGAGTGTAGTAGCATGATCTCGGCTCATTGCAACCTCCACCCCCCAGGTTCTAGCACTTCTTCTGCCTCAGTCTCCTGAGTAGCTGGGACCACAGGCATGCGCCACCACACCTAGCTAATTTTTGTATTTTTAGTACAGACAGCATTTCCCCATGTTGGCCAGGCTGGTCCCGAACTCCTGACCTCAGGGATTTGCCTGCCTTGGCCTCCCAAAATGCTGGGATTACACGTGTGAGCCACCATGCCCAGCTGAGAACCACTAATTTAAAGAGTAACTGTAGTTCTCCAGCCCATGGCCTCCTCTGAGGCTCCCCACTTCAGCTGTCACAGGCTCTGTCCCTCTTGGTCACTGGCAGGCACAGTCACTCACCTGAGGAGAGGCCAGACGAGAGGAACCACAGTGGAGGGAAGGTGAATAATGGCTTATGGGAGCTTCGAGATGGCTCCAAAGACACCACAAAAAGTCCCTGAACTCAGCCGACTGAGGGAGAAAAGAATCTATGCCTGAGTTTGGGCATTGAGGCCACAGGTTTCTCCAGACTCTCAAAAAACTTTAGTCTCTCTCGCATCTCCTGCCACAGATCCTGGGCCTCATCATTGTTCGAAGGCTTCTGGATTTCATCTTTTCCCAGCACGACCTGGCCTGGATTGACAATATCCTCCCAGAGAAGGAAAAAAAGGAGACAGACAAGAAGAGGAAGAGAAAGAAAGGAGCCCACGAGGACTGTGATGAGGAGGTGGGAAAGAAGTGAGGCCGGGGCACAGAGGAGAAATCACACAACCTTCCCTCCACTTTTGCCAGGGCTAGGGAGAGGGTGGCTTCTTGGGTGGCCTCCAGCATGCCTAGGCCCAGTCCAGGATGGGCTGGCCATTTGCTTGTCTTGGTCCGGGGTGCTGAGGGCTCTTCTGTTTATGTGAATATCCTCGAAGTGGGCCAGAGTGAATGAGACTCCTTGTCCAGGGAAAAGGTGACCAGCCATGCTCACTCTTCCCCTCACTATGGGCTTTAAGGCCATGATCACAGCAAGTGGGTTACTGTGGAAAGGGCCGGGAGGCAGCTCCAACATGGAAGGAGGTTATGAAGACTGACCTCCAAAGAGTGGAGCAGGCCTGGGGAGAGGCATCTAATGGGGACTTATAAGTAGACTGGAGTCCAGACAGGCAGGAGGGGCTGGGAACAAGCTTTGCTTTGCCATTCCCTAGGGTAATGGGTACAAAGATGGGGAAAGAGGCAGGTATCCTCACCAAATAGAGAGTGGCTACATTTCCCAGATGCCTAGAATAATGTGGTTGCCCCATCTGCCCCCTCTTCTCCCATGCTCCCTTCCCATTTTTTTATATATATACATACATATAAAATTTATTGCATTTTAGGTTTTGGGGTACATGTAAAGAACATGCAGGATTGTTGCATAGGTACATACATGGCAATGGGGTTTGCTGCCTGCATCCCCATCACCTATATCTGGCATTTCTCCCCATGTTATTCCTCCCCAACTCCCTACCCCCCACTGTCCCTCCCTTAGTCCCCCCCACAGACCTCAGTGTGAGATGCTACCCTCCCTGTGTCCATGTGTTCTCATTGTTCAACACCCGCCTATGAGTGAGAACATGCGGTGTTTGATTTTCTGTTCTTGTGTCAGTTTGCTGAGAATGATGGTTTCCAGGTTCATCCGTGTCCCTACAAAGGACATGAACTCATCTTTTTTTATGGCTGCATAATATTCCATGGTGTATATATGCCACATTTTCCCTGTCCTGTCTATCATCAATGGGCATTTGGGTTGGTCCCAAGTCTTTGCTATTGTAAACAGTGCTGCAGTGAACATACGTGTGCATGTGTCCTTATAATATAATGATTTATAATCCTTTGGATATATACCCAGTAATGGGATTGCTGGTCAAATGGAATTTCTATTTCTGGGTCCCTGAGGAATCGCCATACTATCTTCCACAATGGTTGAACTAATTTACACTCCCACTAACAGTGTAAAATTGTTCCTATTTCTCCACATCCTCTCCAGCATCTGTTGTCTCCAGATTTTTTAATGATCGCCATTCTAACTGGCGTAAGATGGTATCTCAATGTAGTTTTGATTTGCACTTCTCTAATGACCGGTGATGATGAACCTCATATATGTCTTCTTTAGAGAAGTGTCTGTTTATATCCTTTGCCCACTTTGGGTTTGTTTGTTTTTTTCTTGTGAATCTGTTTTAGTTCTTTGTAGATTTTGGATATAAGTCCTTTGTCAGATGGGCAGCTTGCAAAAATTTTTTCCTATTCTGTTGGTTGCTGGTTCACTCTAATGATTGTTTCTTTTGCTGTGCAGAAGCTCTTAGGTCTCATTAGATTCCATTTGTCTATTTTGGCTTTGGTTGCCAATGCTTTTGGTGTTTTAGTCATGAAGTCCTTGCCTATGCCTGTGTCCTGAATGGTTTTGCCTCGGTTTTCTTCTCGGGTTTTTATGGTGTTAAGTCTTATGTTTAAGTCTTTAATCCATCTGGAGTAAATTTTAATGTAAGATGTCAGGAAGGGATCCAGTTTCTGCTTTCTGCACATGGCTAGCCAGTTTTCCCAACACCATTTATTAAACAGGGAATCCTTTCCCCATTGCTTTTGTCAGGTTTGTCAAAGATCAGATGGTTGTAGATGTGTGGCATTGCCTACAAGGCCTCTGTTCTGTTCCATTGGTCTACATCTGTTTTGATACCAGTACCATGCTGTTTTGATTACTGTAGTGTTGTAGTATAGTTTGAAGTCAGGTAGCATGATGCTTCCAGCCTTGTTCTTTTTGCTTAGAATTGACTTGGCTATGCAGGCTCTCTTTTGGCTCCATATGAAGTTTAAGGTGGTTTTTTCCAATTCTGTGAAGAAGGTCATTGGTAGCTTGATGGGGATAGCATTGAATCTATAAATTACTTTGGGCAGTATGGCCATTTTCATGATATTGATTCTTCCTAACCACGAGCATGGAATGTTTCTCCATCTGTTTGTGTCCTCTCTTTTTTAGTTGAGCAGTGGTTTGTAGTTCTTCTTGAAGAGGTCCTTTACATCCTTTGTTAGTTGTATTCCTAGGTATTTTGTTCTCTTTGTAGCAATTGTGAATGGCACTTCATTCTTGATTTGGCTCTCTTTAAGTCTGTTATTGGTGTATAGGAATGCTTGTGATTTTTGCACATTGATTTTGTATCCTGAGACTTTGCTGAAGTTGCTTATCAGTTTAAGGAGATTTTGGGCTGAGACGATGGGGTCTTCTAGATATACAATCATGTCGACTGCAAATAGAGACAATTTGACCTCCTCCTTTCCTAATTGAATACCCTTTATTTCTTTTTCTTGCCTGATTGCTCTGACTAGAACTTCCAATACTATATTGAATAGGAGTGGTGAGAGAGGGCATCCTTGTCTAGTGCTGGATTTCAAAGGGAATGCTTCCAGTTTTTGCCCATTCAGTATGATATTGGCTGTGGGTTTGTCGTAAATAGCTTTTATTTTGAAATACATTCCGTCAATACCTAGTTTATTGAGAGTTTTTGGCATAAAGCGCTGTTGAATTTTGTCGAAGGCCTTCTCTGCATCTATTGAGATAATCATGTGGTTTTTGTCTTTGGTCTATTTATGTGGTGAATTAAGTTTATAGATTTGCGTAAGCTACTGCAAATCAGTCCCTTCCCATTTCATCCCCAAAACACTCAGGGAGTCAACAGACAAGGGACCAGTCTGGAAATTATAGTGAATCACAAAACATGAGGCAGAAAGATTCTTAATATTCACGTATTCATTACATATGATGAAACTGTCCCTGCAAAAGGAAGTGGCTTACCCAAAATGGACATAGAACTAAATTTCTAAGAGGGAATTAAGAAAATAATTCCTGACTTTGCTGATTTCTGATATGCTAAGCTGCCTGTGCCATCTCCTTATGCTGTGCCTGGCTCCCAATCTCCCAATTTGACCCAAACTCATGTCCCTGCATCTACCCTGTCCTGTTCTCATGATTTTGCCTTGTGCAGCTGAAACCTGTTTAAGGTAAATCCCTTCTGATTGGGCTGGTGGTGATTAAACCATCTTCTCATCAGTCAGAACTCCCCTGGTCCTTAATTACTGTGCTCTTCCAGGAAGAGTCCTATAATGCATGTTTTGTAGGATTTGTAAAGGTGGGTTCTGAAAACAAAGAAACAGAGACTAAGTGCCTTTTAAAGGCAAATACTTCTTTCATTAATTCTTTCAATATTTGAGTGGCTACCACATGCCAAGAACTATTACAGGGTTGGGAAAAAGAAGCTCTGAATTATATACCAATGGAAAAACAGGATTTGATTTATACAAATTCATTTTACTTGTCTTTATAGCAACACAGTTATTGTGTGAAGTTCATTCCCAAGTGACTGGTTGCTGTGACAGATAAAACTGTTTTGATGATAACATTCCTGGAAGAGCTCCACTCTGTCCAATGGCATGTGTGGGACAGCAGGCTGTCAGTGGGCCCATTCCCTGTCAGTGGGCCCCAGAGTGTTTGCAGCACCCGCTGTTTAGTCTAGAGGTGAAGAGAATGGTGGTTTGCACTGCCTATGGATGCATTTTCCATCTTGGCAAGAAAGCCAAGTTGTTGGCTGGGCACGGTGGTGCACATCTGTAATCCCAGCACTTTGGGAGGCTAAGGCAGGTGGATCACAAGGTCAGGAGTCCAAGGCCAGCCTGGCCAGCATGGTGAAAACTCATTTCTACTAAAAATAAAAAAAATTAGCCAGGCATGGTTGTGGGCGCCTGTAATCCCAGCTACTCGGGAGGCTGAATCAGAAGAATCACTTGAACCCAGGAGGTGGAGGTTGCAGTGAACTGAGATTGCGCCACTGCACTCCAGCCTGGGCAATAGAGACTCTGGCTCAAAAAAAAAAAAAAAAAAAATAAGAAAGAAAGCCAAGTTGTTGTGTTAGTGGTGTTTATCCTCTTTTCCCACTGTTTTTCTCCAGCCCCAGTTCCCTCCTCCCTCAGTTATAAAGATTCCCATGGAAAGTGTCCAGTCAGATCCCCAAAATGGTATCCACTGCATTGCCAGTAAGTAAAACACATGATATCTCTCCCTTCCTCCTTACTACTAATCCTCTATGTCTTTCCCTGAGGAACTTTCATCTGTAACTCAGGAAGATTTAATCATTTTGGATGCTAGAGCAGCAGTCCCCAACTTTTTTGGCATAAAGGACGAATTTCGTGGAAGATTAACTTTTCCACAGACCAGTAGGGAAGTGGGGAATGGCCTTGGAATGAGACTGTTCTACCTCAGATTCTCTTAAGGAGTATGCAACCTAGATCCCACTCATGCCCAGTTCACAATAGGGTCCTCACCTTTATGAGAATCTATTGCCGCCATTGGTACCACTGAAGGTGGAGCACAGGGTTTAATGCTAATTCGCCCATGCTCACCTTCTACTGTGCAACCAGGTTCTGATACTGTTCTGTGACCTGGGGGTTGGGGACCCCTGTGCAACAAGACCCCTGTCTTAGGCAGAGACCAGAGAACTGGGCCACCAGGACTGGTACTCTAACCAGATGGAAGCCTCAGAGCAAAGCCTGCAGACTTGAATGACTAATCCTCACTTTAGTTGAAGAAAAATCCCTCATTCCCTTCTTTCCCCAGATCCCTGTGGCACTGCCTGGCCCTCCTCTGTTTTAAGACCATATCAGTCTAAACATGGCCCACTAGGCCTCACATGTTTTCCAGTGGCTGTTGAAATGGTTGAGAGCTCAGAACCGAGCTTTCCCCTTTAGAGAAATAGGTATCATAGTACTTAGGTTATAAGTCAGGCAACACTGGAGGTCCCCGTGTTGGTTCCGCTGTGCCTCTGGGTCAATCCTCAGCACCTTCTGTCCACTGAGAGGAAGGCTGCCTGGGAGGGATTGGGCATTGCTTACAGAAATTCTGGGAGTCTCTATTACTGCCTTTAAGCCCTCCCAGCTTCAGCTCCCTATAGGTGGCCAGTCCTGTCATCCAAGCAACATAGCCTGTCATGAGTCTTCCAAAAGATCCCAGCTGAGTCCCAACCCCAGTGCTTCTAATAGAGGGCTTGCCACTCTCAAAGACAGATTAGGGGTGGGTAGCCAGGGTGAGCTTCCCATGGGCACTATCCATCATAGGTACCTCAAGATCTTGAGTTTCTCAGACTCCTCCCCTGCTCACATTCATCCCTCTTCCCTGGCCCTCCCATGCCTCATACCCCCTAACCCCAGCTGAGAGCCCTCTGGGTGAAGGACTAACTAAACCAGAAGCCACACGTCACTGAGGCCCCATATTCCTCTTGCATAATGTTGGCCATAGGGTTAGAGAAGGAAAAGAGAGGAAATGGTGGGGGAAGCCTGGAGAAATATGGTGCTTAAACCTACTCCACATCTGACATTTTCATTTTCCTGCCAGGAAAAAGATCTTCCAGTTGGAGTTACTCACTCTGATTCTTCCTTCAGTGACACAGAACTTGATCGAAGGTAAACACTGTTAGGTAGACTCCTTGGGTATTAGGTAAGAGACTAGGCAATGGCCAGGAAGTCAGAGGGTCTGGGATTTCCCAGGCTAACCGTCCTCTCAGAAGGTCCTTGCTGGCCCCAACTGGGAGACAAGGGTTGACAGACCTGACTCATCATTCAGAGCCAAAAAGCAAATGTGTCTTCTTACTGACGTAACAACATGGTTACAACACAAAGGTGTTCAACTTTAGCAAAGGAAATTCTTATAGAAGATTAGGTAGAACACAAATTGAAAGTACATGTTGACAAAAAGAAAACAGAAAAGCCGGGCGCGGTGGCTCAAGCCTGTAATCCCAGCACTTTGGGAGGCAGAGGCGGGTGGATCACGAGGTCAAAAGATCGAGACCATCCTGGTCAACATGGTGAAACCCCGTCTCTACTAAAAATACAAAAAATTAGCTGGGCATGGTGGTGCGTGCCTGTAATCCCAACTACTCAGGAGGCTGAGGCAGGAGAATTGCCTGAACCCAGGAGGCGGAGGTTGCGGTGAGCCGAGATCGCGCCATTGCACTCCAGCCTGGGTAACATGAGTGAAACTCCGTCTCAAAAAAAAAAAAAAGAGAAAAAAAAAGAAAACAGAAAAACTAGGCATGGCTTAAGTGTAGTATCACTGCAAGCCAGGATAAATGAATGCAAAGGATCAAAACCTCAGGTACTCCATAGAATGAATGAACAGTAGGATTAATTAGCAAAGGTCAGAAAGGTCATGGAGGAAAGCCAACATCCGAGATCAGGTGGAAATGGGGACTGTCTAGAATAAGTTCAAGGCCAGTTGCCAGGAGCCCCCATGCCAACAATGTGATTCTGTTCTTCACAAGAAGCCACCCATGAAAAAGGTGAGACACCCTGATGACACACAGTGGGCTCAAACACAGAAAAGAGGAATTCAGAAGCAAGAAAGCCTTTACTTCATTTTCACTTGGGAAGATGGCAGGTGCAGTCCCACTCCTACCTAGTGCCCCAGAACGGACAGGAATCAAAAAGTAACTAGAGCACAGGTTATTCCGAGTCTAGAAGCAGATCACTCCAGACACAGAAAGCACTCATCCAAGAGTGTTTTGGGGGGAAACTGGGGGCAGGGGATATTCTGATTTGTAAGACAAAGCTGCTATCCCAATGCCAGGGTGAGACGACAGACTTTCCCTAGTTCAACCCTCCCTAAGCAGCAGTAGCAAGGATATTCTAGCCCAGAGGTGTCACCTGTCCAGTTACATTTCCGCCTTCCTTCTCATCCCATCTCAGGCTCCTATACCTGTAATGCCATTGATCTTTATACAGTAGTATATATGGGTGTTAGGAGAAAAAGCAGTCTATCTTATTTTCATTTATAAAATAATCTACATGAAATTAACTAACTGCTCCCAATTTCAGGCAGTAGAGAGAAAATTTGTACCAGGTTAGGGGTTTCCAAATTACACAAGGCCCTAAGACAAGGTCAGAAATGAAGACAGTTTGGTAACTGGAGATGGCATCTCCCGACCTCATTGATGTTTTACTGAATTTATGAAAACAGATGGAGGCAAAAACCACTAAACAGCAAGATTCTATTTCAGTGAAAGACTCTGCAAATTAATCTGGTTTAACAAACACTAAGCATCAGTGATCTACCAGGTGCAGTCCCCTGGAGATGTGGAAAGAAAGGCATGCAAACCAAGACAGAGCACCCTGTGCAAGAATGAGAGAGCAGACGAGGACAGCAGTCTAAGGAAGGCACTAGCCTCATCTCAAGAATCTATGAAAGAAACCAGAATCTGCCAGCCATAAAGCGGGACAGAGTAGAGAAAAGGCAAGCATTTTGGCTAGAGAACACAGGCCCGAAGTACCATTTGAAAACACACACACACACACACGTGCGCGCGCGCACGTCAAAGAGCAAAGAATACTGTGATGGATAGGGCAAACTAAGCAGGCCCGACTACAAACACAAAAGGCTGTGTTTGTGTTCGTGAGAAGACAGATACTCCTGTCTTCTCACGCCAAGGAGCTTAGATTCTTCTTTGAACAATCAGGAACCACCAAATTTGTGACTTAGAAAGTTCACCTTGGCAGCAATGTGAAGATAGGTTTACAGAGCGAGACCAGGTGGATGACTGTGGCTGAAGGCCAAGCCAATAGGAAACTGCTTGGTCTGGCATGTGCTGAGTTCAGAAGTGAGGACAGAACTATTTGCATTAGAGCCCTGCTCTGGGGGATGGGTTCAAAACACCAAGAACTACATAATCCTCTTTCCTACTTCTTGTTCAGCATCACCTTGCACTTCAAAATCTCCTGTCCAGCTTCACCTGCTTTCAACTACTCACGGAACCCAGTGTTCATGGTGCCACAGGTGAAGATAGAGATGGAGTCAGACTATGACTTCACAGACGTGGACAAATACCGAAGAGAAACTGACAGTGAGACCACTCTCTAGGATGAAGCAGCTTCAACAAGACTGGAGATGGAGGGCCTGGTTTAGTCTTAATTGGGAGGGTCTTAACTTATCTGTGCCTGTTTCCTTCTTTATCAAACAGAGGGAGTCCTGCCTAATAGAAAACTGGAGATCTGTTGATCAAAGTACTGCTTAGATGCAAAGCTCTCCCTTCCTTTTATAGTAATGAAAATACCTAAAGATAAATATTATATTTGATTTTAAAATGCAGTCCAGCATAGATATTCTAACACTAAGATAAAGGGGTAATAGTCAAATCATAATTTAAAGCAAATATCAATTTAAAATTGTTTAAAGGTTAGATTTAAATGTAGATGTTCTTGAACTCGTAATATAGTCTAATGTTACTAGACCATCTTCGGAATATTTGGCGATTTTGCATATTAAGAAATGCTGAAAAGATCCTATCTTTTCTGTCACATCCAGTTTCCTAAGGGTTGTATGAAAAGTTTGAACCGGCTGGGGGCGGTATCTCACGCCTGTAATCCTAGCACTTTGGGAAGCCAAGGTGGGCAGATCACAAGGTCAAGAGATCAAGACCATCCTGACCAATATGGTAAAACCCCCTCTACTAAAATACAAAAAATTAGCTGGCAGTGGCAGCGTGTGCCTGTAGTCCCAGCTACTCAGGAGGCTGATGCAGGAGAATCACTTGAGCCTGGGAGGCAGAAATTGCAGTGAGCCAAGATCACGCTACTGCACTCCAGCCTGGGCAACAGAGTGAGACTCCATCTCCAAAAAACAAAGTTTGAACCATCTGCATTATGGGCCTTGCTCCAGAAGTGTGACTGGGGCTTTCCCAGATTGAAAAGCCAGTTCCAAAACTCTGTTAATGACAGAATCAATGCATTTGAGTGGATATTTCTAAAATAAAATAGTTCTTGTTAAAGTGAAATTTGAAACCACATGTTAAATCAACAAAATGATCATTAAATTAGTATCACTGGTTTTTCATACCTGGAATCACATTTCTTTATACATTTGGGTAGGTTCTTCTTGCAAATTTTCAATGTTTATTCCCAAAGTCAAACTCTCATTCACACAAATACAGGTTAGACAGAGGTAATGGCACATTTTACCTTAATAACTTTGCAATATTAATCAACCTAGTACTTTAAAGGAATGATTGGAAACTATTTGGGAAGATTAAAACCAGTTTCAATGAAGCAAAACTATTCCTCATGAAACTTGAGATCAGTCATTTTACCTTAAATCCACATTAATGAACACCAACCATGTTTGTTTAATGCCTATGATGTGCCTGACAGCCACAGTGCATCTGACTTACTTTCTCCCAAACAACTGATTAGGACCTTCAGTAAATCACTTTGGTTAGAGTTGTATTTGCTGAAGATGACAAATGCAGGTGCTTTTTTAAAGAAAAATGACACTAGATCATTAACACCTTGAATATCAGGACAGGTAATTGCCTCTGTAATCCCGAGTCTAATATAGTGCCTGGTCCATAGAAAACTCTCAATAAGTGTTTGATTAATCTCAGAGCTCCCTTTCAAGGGATACTGCCAAGAGGTAAAGCTCTAAACCTCTACCATTCCTACTGATAGCAAAATTTCTTAGCTAATCTAGAACTATCTCCTATGCTTAAGTATGAATTCTTGCCAGGCACAGTGGCTCACACCTGTAATCCCACTACTTGGGAGTCTGAGGTGGGGGAATCAGTAGAGGTCAGTCAGGTCAAGACAAGCCTGGGCAACATAGTGAGACCCATCTCTAAACAAATGTTTAAAAATTAGCCAGGCATGCTGGCACAAGCCTGTAATCCAGCCATTTGGGAGGCTGAGGCAGAAGGATCATTTAAGCCCAGGAGTTCAAGGCTACAGTGAGCTATGATCATGCCACTGTACTCCAGCCAGGGAGACAGCTGGAGCCCATGTCTTATAAACAATAATTTTTTTAAAACTTGTCATCCGCACAACAAATCCTGGGGGAGCTAACAATCCACCCTTCACATTTCAGTTTTAAAACCTGGCTGATTTGGAATGGGACTTTGTCCAAATTAAATTGTAGAAATGCTACGGATTCAAGAGTAAACCTGCTTGATTAATCAAACAAGCTGGAAAACTATTGTTAATTTCTTTGTTGTAAATTGATCACTGTAACTTTACCTTACATGTCATTTGTATTTTGTATATACATGAACATTTTAACTTCCATAGCTTTTTAACAGGTTGACATAATACTTCTCATGCAGTAAGTCAATAATTTTCCCACTTGTAACTGTAATTCAATAAAATTCAATCCTGTCTGGTCATGTTGCTCCATGTTTAACAATCTAGGTAAGTAAGCAGGCATAGCTTATAGACATGAGCTATACTTCACTTACAGAAACATCTCCAGCAAACTATCTAAACTTCTTTCAATTCCAGAGAACTGTCAAAAGAGTAACACCAGCTGGCAGAAGAACAAGAAAGGTAGGTCAACTCAACTCTTCTTTCTGCTTCAAGCTGCCTAGAGCAGGAGCTACTTCTGCTTGCATGAAAGCCAAAGGCCAAAATGGTCAAGGAACCTATCCCCACCTCAAGTATTTCACAGATTAAGCTCCTAGCTTGGCACAACCTGTTAGGATATAAGACTGAAGGACTGGCCAGGTGTGATGGCTCACATCTATAATCCTAGCACTTTGGGAGGCCAAGGCAGGTGGATCACTTGAGGTCAGGAGTTCGAGACCAGCCTGGCCAATGTAATGAAACCCCATCTCTACTAAAAACACAAAAATTAGCTGGGCATGGTGGCATGCACCTGTAATCCCAGCTACTTGGAAGGCTGAGGCACAAGAATTGCTTGAACCTGAGAGGCAGAGATTGCCGTGAGCTGAGATCCACTGCATTCCAGTCTGGGCAACAGAGGGAGACTCAGTCTCAAAAAAAAAAAAAAAAAGACTGGAGGACTAGGCTGGCCGTGGGCTCATGCCTGTAATCCCAGTCCTCTGGAAGGCTGAGGCAGGAGAATTGATTGCTTGAGGCCAGGAGTTTAATATCAGCCCAGACAATATAGCAAGAACCCATCTCTACATAAAAAAGAAAAAAAAATATCTATTTAAGGCTATAGAAGTAAGTGTTACTGAATATAGCAATATCTACATTGATTACATTAGAGAAAAAAAAAAACTCTGGTTAGGTTGCAACTAGGAGTCATAGGAAGACAGAATTTCAGAAATTGATACCACACCAGACAGATGTATTTTATTAAAAAAGAGAAAATCTTTAATCAAAAAGTCTGATTAAATTCAGTATTAACTGAAATTCTTAAAAATTTTCTGGAAAAGTCAACAGGGTGGATCACAGAAAAGCAGGCAGCTGCTGACAGTTCTTTGGTGGAAAAGTAAGTTGCAAACTTACCTAAGCTGCCCAAATGATTATCAAGCCAAGTTTGTTTTTCAAAAATAGATTTTAAAATATAGCAAAGAAACTATACAATTCAAAAATTTAACAATGAAGTTAAAGTATATAGCAAAAAACAAATATGACAATACACATGAATAATGTATAAAAGAAGCCTTTCAATCCTAGAAAACTAAAATTGGGAGAACTTACTGAAGGGTAACAAACATAAAATGAGGACTAATAGCAAGGAACAATCCTAAACATTTTCCCAATGACTGACTAAGCCTTAAAAAGACAGCTTAGGAAAACAACATGTAGTTTTTTTTCCTAGCAAATTCAGTTCTAGTTAGATAAATCTGGTTACCAATCAATACATATATAAATTAATTTCTTTCTACTCAATTACTACCATTTTTTTCTTTTTCACCTTTCCCCTAATTTCCTCTAGCAACACTTTTCCTTTGGTTTGATCAGCTGAACTCAAAAGGTTTGGTACCTAAAATGAGTATCAACTCTTATTGGAATAGCACTTGGGAAATGCAATCCTAGAAAAGGCAAATGTTTAACTGAGGGCTTGACAAAGTTAAGCGTCCATTCTTCATATGACAGTGTCTCCCATGTTCATCACTAGGTTAATGGCTGCACTTGGCTAGATCACATGACCCTGCAGAATACTGGAATGCTCCCTGGCGAGGTACTACAGGTGCGTGCACAAACATCCACCCATTTAAGCTTTTAATAAATACAAAGCATCCTTTTAAACAATTTCAGTAGAATAAATTAAAAATATTGCATTTCTATTGGCCTGCTTTGCTTCTTGAGCTGGCTTGGAGTGTTGTTCATGACACAGAAGACACAACAGTTAATTACTGGCTACTCCAAGCTCTTTAAGCTTCAGCACTTCCCGCTCTTCAAGCCTCAGCACCTTTTTTGCGGCAATAATGGTATTCTTCATTAGCATTGCCACTGTCATGGGGCCAACACCTCCAGGAACTGGAGTGATATAACCAGCTTTCTGTCTGACTCCTACATAGAAACAAGACAGGTAGGCTACTTCAATGATGGCAAAGGACATGTGTGTACCTTAATATATTACAAAAGAAGCATGCAAGGAAAAAGTAACATACATAAGTATAAAACTCAAAAAATCACATCTACATCATTCAAGGTTTTGTGAAAACACTAGTAAAATAACATGCACATAAAGAATTGTTCAAGGAATATTTATACATCTAAGTAACCTATAAAGAAACCTCTTAAAGAAACATACCTTGCTTATACCCATTACTGGAGACAGTAAAAAAAAAAAAAAGAAACATACCTACTAGGTTAACTGTGTGGGAGCTGTTAGTATAATAATAATACTCATTACCTCAAGACCTGCCTACAGCCTTTTCTTAATCTTAAATTTAATTTGTCCAAAGCATCAAGCATAGTAATTTTAATTGAGAAGTTAAAAAAAAAAAAAACTAAAAAAAAAAAAAAATTAAAGTGAAAATCCTTAAATAGCTAGGCATGGGTTTGACTGCTTTAATAAAAACAGAAGCTAGGAATAGGATTATTCATGCCTATAATCCTAGCACTTTGGGAGTCTGAGGTGGAGGGTGGATGGGGAAGATTACTTGAGGCCAGGAGTTTGAAGCCAGCCTGGGCAGCATGGTAAAACCCCATCTCTACAAAAAATACAAAAATTAGCCAAGTGAGGTGGCATGTGCCTATAGTCCCAGCTACTCAGTAGGAGGCAGAGGCAGGAGAACTGCTTTGGCCCAGGAGGCAGGGGTTGCAGTGAGCTGAGATCACGCTACTCTACTCCAGCCTGGGCAACAGAGACCGACCCTGTCTCAAAAAAAAAAAAAAAAAAAGAAAAAGAGAGAGAGAGAAAGAAAAAGGATTATCAGCATAAAACTCAGATAAACATTCTATCTTAAGAACTGAAAGGAGAGGCTGAGGCAGGCGTATCACTTGAGGCCAGGAGTTTGAGACCAACCTGATCAACAAAGCCAAACTCATCTCTACTAAAAATACAAAAAATTAGCCAGGCGTGGTGGCACATGCCTATAATCCCAGCTACTCAGGTGGCTAAGGCAGGAGAATCACTTGAACCTAGAAGGCAGAGGCTGCAGTGAGCAGAGATTATGCCACGCCATTGCACTACAACCTGGGCAACAGAGTGAGACTCTGCCTCTGAAAAAGAACGGAGAAGAGAAATCTATTCCAATTATTTCAGGGATATGACTTTTTCCGGGGCCATTTTAACTTTCTAGGTCTGTGATCTCTCAGTGTGAAAATGAGAAATCTCTAACACTTTTTGGGAAACTGCATGGTTTAGAAAAATCATTTCATCAAATTTTCAAACTTGTTAAAAGTCAAGAAATTGTTTGAATTATGAAATAAGTCTAAGAAAAACAATTCCCTGAAAAGTTTATAACTGCTCTACATTATTGTGATAAAACACCTAAAATAATTTTAGAGTGGCTACAATTTTTAAAAGGTTTCTCTAATTCTTATGAAAAGCATACTAAGGGCAGGCACAGTGGCTCACGCCTATAATCTCAGCAATTTGGGAGGCCGAGACAGGCTGATTACTTGAGGCCAGGAGTTCCAGACCACCCTGGCCAACATGGTAAAACCCTGTCTCTACTAAAAATACTAAAAATACAAAAAATTAGCTGGGCGTGGTGGCACACGCCTGTAATCCTGGCTACTGGGGAGGCTTGAGGCACAAGAATCGCTTGAAGCTGTAAGGTAGAGGTTGCAGTGAGCCAAGATGGTGCCACTGCACTCCAGTCTGGGTGACAAAAGGAGATTGTCTCAAAAATAAAATAAAATAAAAAGAAAAGAAAAGCATACTGGCTGGGTGCAGTGGTTCACGCCTGTAATCCCAGCACTTTGGGAGGACAAGGCAGGTAGAACACCTGAGGTCAGGAATTCAAGACCAGCCTGACCAATATCTATGAAAAAGACAAAAATTGGCAGTGCATCCTGGGTCAGCGTAGCCATGGCGTCTCGTGTCCTTTCCTCCTGTGTCCACCGCCTGCCTGCGGCCTTCGCGCCACTGCCCCGGGTCTCCATGCTGGTCGCTGCCCAGCCTTTCAGCACTGCTCTGTGCTCCACGGGGATCCAGACGAGGCCCGGGCCTTCGCAGCCAGCCGCAGTGCTCGCGCAGGTTCCGGGTAGAGTTACACAGTTGTGCCGCCAGTATTGCGAAGCGCCCTCTTTGACATTAAGAGGACATCCAGGACCATGTCCTTTACATATTGAAACTCTATGACAAGATTGAGCCAGAGAAGCTTTGCATAAATTCTCATTTTATGAAAGACCTGGGCTTAGACAGTTTGGACCAAGTGGAGATTATCATGGCCATGGAAGACGAATTTGGGTTTGAAATTCCTGATTTAGATGCGGAAAAGTTAATATGTCCACAAGAAATTGTAGATTACATTGTAGATAAGGAGGATGTATATGAATAAAGTATCAGACCCTTTAGCTTTGTTGAGAGAGGACACAGATGATACTGATGAATGTCTGGCAGTGAGGACACAGTTCGGCATTATTGCTGGCTCTAACAGAGTAATTCTGAGGGACTTGTATTTAAATTGTGTAAGTGTTTTTCTCTTTGAAAATAAATCTATAAAACAAAAAAAAAAAAAGACAAAAATTAGCTGGGCGTGGTGGCGGGTGCCTATAATCCCAGCTACTTGGGAGGCTGAGACAGGAGATCCAGGGAGGCAGAGGTTGCAGTGAGCCTTTGAGATTGTGCCACTACACTCCAGCCTAGGCAACAAGAGTGAAACTCCGTCTCAAAAAAAGAAAAAAAGCATACTAAACAATATTACCAAGGTAACATGAGCATACAAGTTACATAAAAAGTAAATAATCTATCCTGAATGTCCATGAAAGGCAGTATTTATTGATTTCAGTTTTTAAAATAAAATTATGCCATTTACCTTCAAAATCCACATCTCCAACCAACTTGGGTTTGGCAGTTACGGGATCATGAACTCTATTTATTCCCACATCAATAACTGCTGCTCCTTCCTTGATCATGTCTGCTGTGATCAGATTTGGAATGCCTGGAAATGGAGACGGGAAAGATCAACTTGTCAGGTTCCTATCTAATTTCAATTTCAAGAGACCTAGAAGAACTAATTAACATGTTTTATTAAAATCTGTTACAAATATTAAGGAACCACGTACTTTTATTATTTATTTTTGGCTTCCGACAGAAAACAAAAGGAACCATTTAAACTTTATACAGTAAATATAAATATTTTGAAGCTTTAGAAATAACATTCACCCATCCAGTCTATAATGGAATGCCTGAAACCAGTATTCCAATCACAACTCTACCCTCATCTTTGTAGGTAGCTCAAAGAATCATTATGAGGGGAATGATGAATGGAATGGCAACTAGGCAGGCAAATTCTAAGATGAGGGGTACAACATCCTCTTCTGAGGCAAAGTCCTTCCCTCCGCCCCCTTGTGTTCTTACCTGCAGCAGATATTACAATATCTGCAAGAATTGTATGTTTCTTCAACTGCTCTTTGGGAGTGTATCGATGAGATATTGTAACAGTGGCATCACCTAGAAAAAAAAACTAGATGTCTTGATTTCTGACACAAAGCTGGGATTGGATTAGGTCTCAACTAGTCATGTCTTTGTAGAAACTCAACATCTCTGAAAAACTACAAACACTGTAGAAACTCAGTATCTCTGGACTTACAGCTAGGCGCAGTGGCTCACGCCTGTAATCCCAGCACTTTGAGAGGTTAAGGTGAGCGGAAACCTGAGGTCAGGAATTTGAGACCAGCCAGGCCAAAATGGTGAAACCCGGTATCTACTAAAAATACAAAAATTAGCCAGGCATCATGGTGCACATCTGTAATCCCAGCTACCTGGGAGGTGGAGGTTGCAGTGAGCCGAGATCATGCCACTACACTCCAGCCCAGGCAACAGAGAGGAAAAAAAAAAGATAAAAAAAATAAAAAAATAAAAATAAAAAAAGAAAAAAAGAAGACTTAATGGCTTGTGCCGTATTTTCTGGACAGCTAATTGTCATTTACTTTTTTAAAATTAATACCTAATTTTGTATAGCTTTAACCAGCTCGACTGTTTTGAGTCATATAATTAAATTTATTCATTCTACTTTAAAGACTTTCAAGAATTTTACTGTTTCTAAGTATGTTGAAAGATAATTGAAAATATAGTCTTGCCATTATTTCTGATATAAACATGTAAGGTCATTATTACAATAATTACGTGGTAACTGACTGACAAGGCTTTTCCTCAGACCCAATTAACAGCACTTGACAGGACACATTACAGTCCTATCAATCCAATTCTTTGCAATGGCTTAAGATCTTTTCCACTAAATGACACAGAACAGGATACTATCTTTGAATAAGAACTGCTCCTTAGTTCCAGCTATCAAAGCTATAGCTGAAATTTTCTAATTTCCTATAATCATGCTTCTATCAAAACTTAAATTTATTTCTGAAGCTAGTTACATGATAAGTGAATAATAAACTCAGATGACACTGGGTGCAGCTTCTCCACAAAGGCTACTCCCTGAATTGTCTGTTAACAAAATTACAACAAATACAAAGTATAACAGAGTTAATACTTCCAAACATGCACAGGATGACTTCTGAAAGTTCTTACATGGGGAGAAGAGGACAGTGCTCCCTGAAAGCAATTTCCTTACCTCCAGGACGTTCATGTGCCCCATCTGTGTGCAGTAACATTGCAATGGGCATTCCAACATTTTTTGACCTTCCAGCCACAACCACATTCTTCCCTAGGGTTGGAATGCCTACAAAAAATATATATATTTAAGTTAAAAGTAGTGCCAATCCATCTTAGAATGAACACCAAAGGAAAACAAAGTCAGATGGCCTAGAACATGAACCCAATTTTGATAGTGAAGTCACTGGGCTTATTGCCACATCAGTCAATTGGAGCTATAATTTACTACACAAAATAAGGGCTACGGGCCGGGCGCGGTGGCTCAAGCCTGTAATCCCAGCACTTTGGGAGGCCGAGGCGGGTGGATCACGAGGTCAAGAGATCGAGACCATCTGGTCAACATGGTGAAACCCCGTCTCCACTAAAAATACAAAAAAATTAGCTGGGCATGGTGGCGCGTGCCTGTAATCCCAGCTACTCAGGAGGCTGAGGCAGGAGAATTGCCTGAACCCAGGAGACGGAGGTTGCGGTGAGCCGAGATCGCGCCATTGCACTCCAGCCTGGGTAACAAGAGCGAAACTCCGTCTCAAAAAAAAAAAAAAAAGGGCTAAAAGAAAATAGGAGAAAGCACACTGTAGGCTACAAAATATTACAGGAATGTGCACTGTCACCACTATTAAATCTTAAATTTCTTTCACTGAGGGCTGGGCGGTGGCTCACACCTGCAATCCCAGCAGGAGGGAGGATTGCTTGAGGCCAGGAGTTTGAGACCAACCTGGGCAGCATGGCGAAACCTCTGACTCTTAAAAAGAAAAATAGAAAGTTTCCTTTACTACCAGTAGAGTGGGGCATAAAGAAAGAAAATTAAAAATTTGAAAAAAAGAAAGTTTCCTTCACGGAGGCTTCTGGATTAAAGAGCAAAAACTGTCAAGGGCAACAGTTAAGGCCGGGCAACAATGGCTCACGCCTGTAATCCCAACACTTTGGGAGGCTGAGGGGGCAGATCGCTTGAGGTCAGTTCGAGACCAGCCTGGCCAACATGGTGAAATCTGTCTCTACTAGCAATACAAAAATTAGCCGAGCATGGTGAGGCATGCCTGTAATCCCAGCTATTCAAGAGGCCAAGGCATGAGAATCGCTTGAGGCCAGGAGGCAAAGGCTACAGTGAGCCACTTCACTCCAGCCTGGGTGACAGAGCGAGACACTCAATCAAAAAAAAAAAAACCTGTTAAGAGAGGTAAACTCTAGGGAATAGGACTAGAGGATATGGGGTGGGGTTTCCACTCTTTGGAACTGTATGAGTTTTTACCATTTGCAGGTACTACTTTTATAATATTAACACAGACATACAGTTCTGGGATATACCTACCAGTTCGCTTAATTATTTCCCACACACCCCATGGGGTAGCCGGTAACATGGAATACTGGTCCAAACACATTCGCCCTACATTGATTACATGAAAGCCATCTACATCCTTGTCTGGAGAAACAGCATTGCAGATCTTTCTCTCATCAATATGCTCTGAAAAAGAAAACAGCACAGCTGCCTTAAATCACCACTGCAGTCAGCACTGCCTAACTCCAGCTTATGTGCTTTGTCAAGAATATCCATTCTTCTACAGCTTGCCTCTGAGATGTACTTCATCTGCATGGAAGGAACTCACATAAGCAAAGCCAAACACCAAGAGGAAAGCCAATATAGTTTATCACAGCTGCTTCCCTCCGCTGTCCTTTGTATCAAGACCACAATGCTAAATCAAGGGGTAACTGGTATTCTGAGTAGGTCTGTCCCATTTCTAATAAAATAGTCACTCTTTTGAATTTACTTTGCCTTTAAGCCAAATCCACATGAAGAGCCAGGTGTATAAAGTAACAAGGCCTCTTTACTTCTGAGAAATCATTTTAGGTAGGGCATGGTAGTTCACGCCTGTAATCCCAGCACTTTGGGAAGTACGGAGTTCAAGACCAGCCCAGGCAACACAAGGAGACTTCCATCTCTGGGAAAAATGTAAAAGTTAGCTGGGCGTGGTGGCACACACCCTAGTCCTAGCTATTTGGGAGGCTAAGGCAGGAGGATCCCTTGAACGCAGGAGCTTTGAGCATGCAATAAGCTATGATTGTACCACGGCACTCCAGCCTGGGTGATAAAGCAAGACTTGGGACAGAAGGGGAGGGGAAGGAAGGGGAAAGGCTGGGTGCAGTGGCTCACGCCTATAATCCCAGCACTTTGGGAGGCCGAGGGAGGTGGATCACCAGAGGTCAGGAGTTCGAGACCAGACTGACCAACATGGTGAAACCCATCTCTACTAAAAATACAAAAAAAATTAGCCAGGTGTGGCGGCCCACGCCCGTAATCCCAGCTACTCAGGAGGCTGAGGCAGGAGAATCGCTTGAACCCAGGAGGTGAAGGTTGAAGGATCCAAGATCATGCCACTATACTCCAGCCTGGGCAACAGAGAGAGAGACTCTGTCTCTAAAAAAAAAAAAAAAAAAAAAAAAAAAAGAAGAAGAAAAAGAAAAAAAGCAGAAGCAGCAGAAATCATTTTAAATGGTGGAATCCAAAACTCACCTGGAAGAGGCAACTGAACAAGGAGGCCATCTACATTATCATCATTATTCAGTTTATTGATTAAATTCAACAATTCTTCCTCTGAAATTGAAGCCGGTTTCACAATTGTCTCACTGTTGATTCCTATTATAAGAAATTTTGAGATTAAAAAAAAATGTCTGAGGCATTTAATGAGCAGTGCTATGTTGCCTACCATACTTGGCTACCATACAGGTTTTGTATCATCATACTCACCCCTAAAAGCTGAAGTAGCTCAAGAACCTAAAAAAGTAAATTCACAAATATACACACTAGAGAATACTAGCTTAGCACATCCTGTATACCTCATTCTATGCAATCCTTATTAACCTTATTTTACAGACAGACTGAGGCTCAGTCTTTCTGATCCCAAAATCTATGTTCTTTTTCTGCACCACACTACCTCCCAATGTCTTAAAATGCCATGGCTTGGCTGGTTACAGCGGCTCATGCCTGTAATCCCAGCACTTGTGGGAGGCCAAGGCGGGCGGATCACCTGAGGTTGGGAGTTCAAGACCAGCCTGACCAACATGGAGAAACCTCGTCTCTACTAAAAATACAAAATTAGCCAGGTGTGGTGGCTCATGCCTATAATCCCATCTACTCGGGAGGCTGAGGCAAGAGAATTGTTTGAACCTGGGAGGCGGAGGTTGCAGTGAGCTGAGATGGCGCCATTGCACTCCAGCATGGGCAACAAGAGCGAGACTCCATCTCAAAAAAAAAAAAAAAATGCCATGGCCTGCAATTTTCTAGAGGTTTCTAAAGGCATTCAATTAAAAGAGCAGGAGGCCTCAATCCTCAAAGATAAAGAGTAGAGGATACCACAGGCTCACAGACCAGTAACCCCACCTAGCCAGGCCAGTGGTTTCACAGCCCTTCAGAAGTAAAGGCCACCTGCTGCTCAGACCACAGGCCCACAGATGGACAGGCAGAGGCATATCTGAGCCTGCCCACCCACCTCTTGTCCACAGCCACACAGTCATCTGTGATACCATGAAGCCTAGAACACAAGCCCCATCATCCAGACCTGAACTGCTTCTAAACTGCACGTTTGTCTTTAGAACCAATCAGTGAAGAACTTGAAAGCTATTTCCCAGAAGTCAGAGTCATTTCCTTCAAATCTATGACTGCGTTCCTGACCTCATCACTGAGGTCTCCTAAAACTGTATTGCTCCATCATTCCCCCTAAGCCTCTAAGGCTTGAAACTGCAGAACACTGAAACACCTCTGCTGGAGAGACCCATTGTTGCTCAAGAAAAGCAAATGTGAAATGTGTTCAAGGTCACCTATCGAATGTAAAGACTGAAAAAAGAACTTGGTGGGGGGTGGGGAGTTGGGGAGAGATAGCATGGGGAGAAATGCCAGATATAGGTGATGGGGAGGAAGGCAGCAAATCACAATGCCATGTGTGTACCTATGCAACAATCTTGCACGTTCTTCACATGTACCCCAAAACCTTAAATGCAATTAAAAAAAAGAAAAAAAAATTTTAATTAAAAAAAAAAAGAACTTGGCTTATATTCTTTCCAGAAGCCACAGAGAATACCAAACCAGTATCTCCTGCCCTAGTCTATAAACCCCAAAAGATATAGCCTGATTTCCTGTGACAAAGTTTTGGGATACAGTTCAATCACATTAGCCTCCTCTGCTTGGGTTTCCTAATCAGAAAAAAGAAATCATAAATTACAATGGATTTTGCCTCATATAAACCTCAATTAAGCAACAGCAGTCGGCGCCTGACACATACCCACATCTGCAGCTGCCCTGGTTTTGTTGAGGACATAGGAGTGACTTGCAGGATTCTCGCCAACCAGGATCACGCTCAGGTGTGGCCGTTTATTGCCTGAGGCCACCCACTCTTCCACCTCCTGCTGTACTTCATGCTTGATCTGCTGGGCCAGTTTCCTTCCAGAAATGACCACGGCTTCATTTCTGCAGAAGGCAACAGAGTCATAAAAGCAAATAACTTGAATTTTTATAAAAAGTAAAACTCTGCCAGGTGTAAGTGGTTCATGCCTGTAATCCCAGCACTTCGGACACCGAGGTGGGAGGATGGCTTGAGCCCAGGAGTTTGAGACCAGCCTCGGCAACGTGGCGAAAGCCTGTCTCTGCTACGTAAATAAATAAATATGTCCAGCTACATATGTAGGGGGATAAAGTTGATAGAAATCATTATTATCATTAATTCGAAGCTCAGTGACTGACAGCTAGTGCTTGGTCAGGCTGAGTCTCACATCAGTCTGGCTGTTAACTGCTACGCCATCCAGCGCCCAGATCATTACTAAGTTTTCTGCAGGTTTAATTTGCAATTGTTTGACCCCTCACCATGAGGTTAAGTAGTTTTTTGTTTTTATTTTTTGAGACAAGTTTCGCTCTTCTTGCCCAGGCTGGAGTGCAATGGCAGGATCTCAGCTCACCACAACCTCCGCCTCCCAGGTTCAAGCGATTCTCCTGCCTCAGACTCCGGAGTAGCTGGGATTACAGGCACCCACCACCACGCCCACTCTGAGCCTAGCTAGTTTTTTGTATTTTCAACAGAGAAGGGGTTTCATCATATTCACCAGGCTGGTCTTGAAACGCCTGACCTCAGTTGATCTACCCGCCTCTGCCTCCCAAAGTGTTGGGATTACAGACATGAGCCACCATGCCCGGTCCAAATAGTTTTTATCTGCTTATATGCCATCTGTAGATTGTGTTTTGCCCCAGCTGTTAGCAGCCAGGTGTGTATTTGAAATTATTTCCCAGCCAATTGACTTTATTTTTATGGTGCTTTTTAAATAGATAAATTATATTCTGTAGTTAAATAAATAAACAATATAGGCTGGGTATGGTGGCTCACGCCTGTAATCACAGCACTTTGGGAGGCCAAAGCAGGTGGATTGCTTGAGGTCAGGAGTTCGAGACCAGCCTGGCCAACAAGGCGAAACCACTTTTGTACTAAAAATACAAAAATCAGCCAGGCATGGTGGCACGCGCCTGTACTCCCAGCTACTCGAGGCTGAGGCAGAAGAATTGCTTTAACCCAGGAGGCAGAGGTTGCATCGAGCTAATATCGCCCTACTGCACTCCAGCCTGAGTGACAGGGTGAGACTCCATCTCAAAAAAATAAAATGAAATAAAATAATATAGATAAGCATATCTTCCTTAAGTAAAATGATCCCATAAAAACAAGTCTTTCCCTTTAGATCTCTGTCCTTGGTGTCATGAGGACTGCTCTAATCTCAAGAACAATGAAGCAATTTCCCCTTGTACTCTCAAACCTAACATCAAGGTACTGAATATCCTGTAGGGTAAGATAAAATTAATTCTCAAGATAACTGCTAATTTATTTTATTTTATTTTTTGATACGGACTCTTGCTCTGTCACCCAGGCTGGAGTGCAGTGGCGTGATCTCAGCTCACTGCAGCCTCCATCTCCCAGGTTCAAGCAATTCTCCAGCCTCTGCCTCTGGAGTAGCTGGGAATACAGGCACCCACCACTGCGCCTGGCCGGTAACTGCTAATTTAAATGGGATTTTAAGGCTTGCAAAATCTTTGGGCCTTCAAGTGCTTTTTATTGCATTATGATTAAATACCAACTTTAAACCAAATCTCAACATCTTGGATATAATGCAATAATAATCTTATATCTAAACTTTATCTTAATCGGTACTGCATCTTGTGAAGTATTGAGAAAATTATCAGCCGAGCGAGGTGGCCCATGCCTGTAATCCCAGCACTTTGGGAGGCTGAGGCGGGTGAATCACAAGGTCAAGAGTTTGAGACCAGCCTGGCCAACACGGTGAAACCCTGTCTCTACTAAAAATACACAAATTAGCTGGACATGGTGGCACGCGCCTGTAATCCCAACTACTCAGGAGGCTGAGGCAGGAGCATCACTTGAACCCAAGAAGTGGAGGTTGCAGTGAGCTGAAACCGTGCCATTGCACTCCAGCCTGGGCGACAGAGAGACTCCATCTCAAAAAAAAAAAATTATCATAATCTGGCCAGGCATGGTTGCTCAGGCCTGTACTCCCACCACTTTGGGAGGCCAAGGCTGGCAGATCACCTGAGGTCAGGAGTTTGAGACCAGCCTGGCCAACATGGTGAAACGCGATCTCTACTAAAAACACAAAAATTAGCCGGGCATGGTGGCAGGAGCCTGTAATTGTAATCTCAGCTACTCAGGAGCTGAGGTAGGAGAATATCTTGAACCCAGGAGGCAGAGGTTGCAGTTAGCCGAGATCGCGCCACTGCACTCCGGCCTGAGTGACAGAGCGAAACTCTATCTCAAAAAAAAGACAAAAGTTACTATAATCTTATAGCAAATCAAACACTTTTATCCAGATTTTACATAATGATACTAGCATGGCACAACATATAACAACATTTAATTTATACCCATGGTATATGAAGAAATTGAAAACATTAATATTCACAATTCCATTTCAGAATTAAGAGTTGAAGAGGACTTCCTTAAAAAGGTTTTGCTGATACAAATACACCTGGCAACATTCCTGATTTATATTAGTACCTGGAATGCCCACTCTAGGCCAAAAATACATTCCCAATCATGGAATACTACAGAGTGAGAGACTACTTTAAAAGGGCTTATAACAGTCATTTATATTGAATGAAATTACATATGTAATGTGCCAGGAATATATGGTCAATAAAACTAATTTCTTAGTCTTTTCCCTTGGTTTTATATACATATATACATACACATACACACGTATCCTTAAAATATAATAGATACACATACTCATAAGGAGATATATATACTATATGTATATATACTCAGTGAGAATGACTTAGCCTGCACCTCACAAAAAGTTTCTTTTGAAAGCAGTAAACTTAGAGAAAATGGTATTAGCACATTCAGATAAAATCATATACTAAATTTAAGAACACAGGGTTCTGGGAAAAGCCAGAGTTCCAAGTCCCAGACTTTGCTTCCAAAAGCAGGTTCTGGCTGTTATGCCAATTTTCTTTTTTTAAAAAAAAAGAAAGTCAAAATGTAACAAGAACAAAAAACAAAGCCACATACAATGAATATCTTTCATAGTATAACCGTCAGCCCTCCTCTGCTTCCCACAACTCTGAAAAATGTGAAACACAGCCTTGGGAGTAAGTCATTAACTAACTTAGCATCATCTCTGTTGCCAAGGGGCAGATTAACTGGTACCCCAAAATAAACAGGGAGATGGAGACTCAGCTAAGTCCCATAGGGAATCCAAAATTGTAACTATATTAGCTAACATTTATCCCAGAATGAAATGGGTTCACAGATGTGTTTAGAAAAAATTCCCAGGGCTGGGCATGGTGGCACAGGTCTGTAATCCCAGCACTTTGGGAGGTAAAGTTCAAGACTAGCATGAGCAACATGGCGAGACCCTGTGTCTTCTAAAAGTTTAAAAAAAAAAAAAAAAAAAGTAGCCAAGCATGGTGGTGCACTCCTATGGTCTCAGTTACTCAGGAAACTGAGGTGAGAGGATCACTTGAGCCCAGGAGGTCAAGGCTGCAGTTAGCCATGCTTGCACCACTGCACTCCAACCTGACCAAGAGATTCCCTTGCCAAAAAAAAAAAAAAGAGAGAGAGAAAAATTTCCATTAAAATAAGTAATCAACAGAACTAGAAGAAGTCAAGAGGACTGTTCAAATAAAATCCAAAACTGTGGCTCACGCCTATAATCCCAGCACTTTGGGAGGCTGAGGCAGGTAGATCACTTGAGATCAGGAGTTTGTGACCAGCCTGGCCAACATAGTGAAACCCCGTCTCTACTAAAAATACAAAAATTAGCTGTATGTGGTGGTGTGTGCCTGTAGTCCCAGCTACTCGGCAGGCTGAGGCAGAACAGTATGAACCCAGGAGGCAGAGGTTGCAATGAGCCAAGATTGCACCATTGCACTCCAAGCCTGGGTGACAAAGTGAGACTCTGTCTCAAAAAATAAAATAAAATTCAAAACTGAAATCCAAGTGAGTAGCATCTTCACTTTCCTTTTAATTCAATAGCTTATAGTACTGTAATTTTCCATGAGAAATTACTATCAGGGCATTTTACAATTCATAATCAAGTGATTTGGGGAAGTTCTGTTATCAATTAATGGGAAAAGTAAAGAGTGAAGGAAAACACAAGGGGGAATGGAACAAACACCTATTAAACACTAGGTATTTTGCTTACACTTTTACACAGATTACACTTTTACATAGATTACTCAGCTACCTTGGGGCTACTATAACACTGCTACACAGAAGATGAAACTGAAAACAGTAGAAACAAGATTTAAAGGCAAACTTCTGCCTCTAAAGTTCACTTACTCTGTAACTCCACTGTCTCCAAGGCTACTATTTCTCCAACTATGAGGTTTATGTTCCTGAAACCTCATACCAACCAATAAAGAAAAACAAAAAAAGAATGCAGACTTGTATTTTTAAAAAGATATAACTTTCACATTTACGCAGCCAGCAGTAAGAAAGCAATACTTGGGAACTGTAAATACCAAATGATTAGTACAGATAATATGGATTGCTTTCGGAGATGTGGACGAAGCTTACTTGTTCTTTCAGAAAGGTAGGTGATAAGAGCATTTGTTATTGGAGAGTGTAGGCAAACTGGTCCAGTTCTTTAGGTAATGAATGAAAGCATCTTTATAAATCTCTTTTCAACCATGGAAGCCTAAAGGTCTGGTCCACAGTCACAAGAGGCCAGCACTCAGGAAGAGGGAGACGGGGAGAGAACATACAGCAATGAAAGATGAGGCAGGTCAGAGTCAGACCAAGAACAGCCCTGAAAGTCCCCTCCCACATCTTCCTTCAAGAACTCATTGCTCCAACAAGCAAGCCCCTTTGAAATGTTTCTGATAGCATTTCTGCACTGACTGGAAATTACACACGTGTTCCACCCCTTGTCAGGAACGTGAGTTCCACTAAGAACAGTTTTTATCATCTCTGAATTTGCACAGCTTGGCATAGTGTCTGGCACACAGTGAACGTTAGAAGAAGAAAAGAAGGGGCTAATGTTATAAGGTGCGGGGCTCTAACAATGCCAACAATGCCAACGCTCTAATGATCAACCAAGTCACCTTCCCAAGGAAATCCAAAAATGCAAATAGAGCTTTTCCTTTTCTCCGCCCCGGTACATTTTTTCCAATTTTGTTATTGTGGTAAAATTCACATAACATAAAACTTACCAACTTCTTTTTTTTTTTTTTTTTTTTGAGACAGTGTCTTGCTCTGTTGCCCAGACTGGAGTGCAGTGGCACCATTACTGCAGTCTTGAACTCCCAGGCTCAAGCAATTCTCATGCCTCAGCCTCAGAGCGCGTCACCACGCCCGGCCCAACCATTTTTAAGTGCAGCTCAGTAGTATTAAATACGTTCATAATGTTGTGCAACCATCACCAACATTCATCTCCAGAACTCTTCATAAGACTGAAATTCTGCCAGTGCCGCTGAAACGTGGGTACTCGTCACTCTCCATGTCCCCTTTCCCTAAGGCCCTGGGAGCCTCCCAGGGGTTTGACACCTCCAGGTACTCAGCCCGGCATTGACCGGCTCGGGTGGGCTGCAGCCAAAACCTGGGTGTCCTGAGTCCATTCAAGTTCCGGGGGGGACGGCAGCAGCGCGGGCCACTCCCACCGGTGGAAGGAGGAGGGCGGCGCGGGGACCCCGAGCAAGTCAGATCAGGGATTTCATCAGCTGCAGCAGCGCCCTCCGCCGCTAGGGTCCCCGCAACGGACAGCTGAGGGCTGCTTTTGTGGAATCCTCGCCTGCTCCCCCCAAGACGACTTTCGGCGTCCCAGCCAGGGGCGGCCAGCAGCTATCGGAAGGCCCTGCATAAACTGGCGCCTTCGCTTTCGCTCCGCACGCCACCCCCGTCCCACCTGCCCACTGGCCACGAGCCGGGCCCGGCGACGCCCCAAGTCGCCGGAGCGGCTCCCGCTGAAAGGCGGGCTTCGGGTACCAGCCCTCCGCGTCGAGCAAACACCCCGGTCAAGGGCTGCGGCGGCGCTCGGTGCCACGTCGCCCCACCACACCCCTCAGCGGCCACCACCGCCGGGGCGGAGATGTTCGGGGAAGGACATCCCCCGGTGTCCCTCGGGGGCCCGGCATGCCCCTCGCCCTCCGTTCCCCTGGGCTTTCCGCGCTGACCGAGTTCCCTGACCCTCTTACCGAACTGCCGCGAGGTGGAAGGAGCGAGGGCGGAGGGAGCATCTCTGCGCAGACTGCAGCAGTCGGAAAGCCAACGCGGACATGAGCGAAGGCGCAGGCATAGCCCACGCCAGTGACTGTGCCGGGAGCGAAGCGCGCGCGCGGGCCGTGCATTTATACCGCGGCCTCGTGGCAGGCTCTGCCTCCCTCCGCCACCCATTGGTCCCTGCCACACGCCACTGGCTGTCTGTTGAGGCTTCTGGAGCCGAAGGAGCCAACCGGTTTTCTTTATGAAACGTAAGCGAAGTCCCGAAGAGCCCTGCTTTTGATTGGAGCAAGAAGAGCCTGGAGCTAGGCCCGCCTGCCTGACGCTGCTAGTATCACGGAAGCCCAGACAGCACGAGAAAAGTTCATTCATTCATTCGTTGAACAATTATCTGAGTGCCTAATGTGTGCCAAGCACTGTAAAGGGTGGATGAAAAGACAGGCTGATAGAATACCAACGAATAGAAGTAGAAGGAATTACGGAGTTAGAAAATCACCATTTAGCAAAACCATAGTAAAAACTGATTAAGAGTTGTTGGAGGAAATGGCAATGGAGGAAGGGCTTACAGAGTGCCTACATAAAATGGTTACAAGTGCCGGGCGCGGTGGCTCAAGCCTGTAATCCCAGCACTTTGGGAGGCCGAGGCGGGTGGATCACGAGGTCAAGAGATCGAGACCATCCTGGTCAACATGGTGAAACCCCGTCTCTACTAAAAATACAAAAAATTAGCTGGGCATAGTGGCGCATGCCTGTAATCCCAGCGACTCAGGAGGCTGGGGGAGGAGAATTGCCTGAACCCGGGAGGCGGAGGTTGCGGTGAGCCGAGATCGCGCCATTGCACTCCAGCCTGGGTAACAAGAGCGAAACTCCGTCTCAAAAAAAAAAAAAAAAAAAAAAAATTGGTTACAAGTACTGGGAACAGTAAACCGCGGCAAACTGTGTCAGGCCACTGGGGAGCGAACTTCTCTAAGCCTCCATGTTCCAGGTGCAGAGTGCCCTTGCCTCTGTTACAGTACATAACATGTTCAAGGGCTTAAAACCCCTTTTGTAGCATTACAAAGTAACCAGACTTGTAGGCTCCTTGTGAGACTCACTCCCTCCGGCTGCGGCTGCTGCTGCGGCTGCGCCTAGGCTACAATCTTTAGATAAAACACAGGCTTCTGCTTTTCAAAGTTTCTCACAAAGCTGCCACTGCTAGCAATCTAGAATGACACCCCAGTTTCTGTTCACCAAAGATTGCTCCAGGGTCATGCCACCCTCTCTCCACTATCACATCACCTTCACCCCACCATCTGCTGACTGCTCAAAGTGATTGTAACCCATAAATATTGTAGGGAACCTAAGCTCGGGGCCTTCACTGCCTCCAGTGCAAAGTGATGGTCCCCTGGTCCAACTTTCATTCTTAATCTCTTTTTCTCATTTCTTTGTCGCCACCGAACTCAGGGTACCCATGGATGGGGTGTAGGGGCTGATTCTCTGCCAGAGTCAGCAACGGATGTCAAAACAACTGGGTGAAAGTTGGATGAGGAGCAAGATATTTACATAGAGAGTTGCCAGATGTGGCAAATAAAAACACAAGATGCCCAATCAAATTAGAATTTTAGATAAACACTTTTGGGAGATCATATTTATACTTTAAAAAGTATTTGTGGTTTATCTGGACTTCAGATTTAACTGGGCTTCCTGTATTTTTTCTCGCAAACCTTTTACATAGTCTCAAAGTATCTCTCCCGCAAAGAAACTTAAAAACAAAAAAGGAGGGCTGGGCATTGTGGCTCACACCTGTAATCCCAACACTTTGGGAGGCTGAGGTGGCAGATCACCTGAAGCCAGGAGTTCGAGACCAGCCTGGCCAACATGGTGAAACCCTGTTTCTACTAAAATTAGCCAGGTGTGGTGGCGCCCGCCTGTAGTCCCAGCTACTGGGGAGACTGAGGCACGAGAATCGCTTGAACCTGGGACACGGAAGTTGTGGTGAGGCAAGATCATGCCATTTCACTCCAGCCTGGGCAACAGAGTAAGACTCCGTCTCAAAAAAAAAAAGCAAAATGGTAAATTTACAGTGAAGAAACCTGACAGTTACTGCCTCAACCAAGTAATCAAAGTTAGCACCACCCAGTAATGGAACACACATTATGTGCCTTCTGATAGGATGCACTGAGGGGACACATCACTTTGTAGCTCTTAACAAGTCTGTATATTTAATAAAGTGAGTTTTCGAAACCAATGAGTCTCCTAAAAGCGGTTACAGAGTCTTCATTTCACATTGAGAAGAGAAATCACAGATTAGAATGTTAAAACTGTCCAGGGGAAAAAAAAAAACAGTCCTGAAGCATTGGAACACACCTGTAGATCTTAATCTAGTCACAAGGAAATATCAGACAAGTCCAAAGTGAGAGATATTCTACAAGATAAATCACTTGTACTCTTGACAGCTAGAAGCCCGTGAAAGACAAAGAATGAGAAACTGTTTTCAATTAAAGGAGCCTGGACATGACAGCTAAATGCTGTTGATTCTGGATCAGATTCTGGACCAAAACCTTTTTGTCTTTCTTTTTTTCTCTTTCTTTCTTCTTTTTTTTCTCTCTTTGCTACAGATGACATTATAAGACAATTGGCAAAATAGGAATAAAGTCTGCAACTAGCTAATAGCATTGTATCATGAAATCGTTGATTTCCTGATTTAACTAATTGCATTGCGAAAATGTAAGAGAATATATTGCACTTGCTTCTAGAACTGAAGGACCATGCCTGCAACTTCCTTTTGAACAGTTCAGAAAAAAAAACAATGCTTTGTCTGTATGAGTTGACTAGGGCTGCCACAACAAAATAACACTGACTGAGTCGTTTAAACAACAGAAATGGACTGAGTGTGGTGGCTCACACCTGTAATCCCAGCACTTTGGGAGGCTGAGGCAGGTGGATCACCTGAGGTCAGGATTTTGAGACCAGCCTGGCCAACATGGTGAAACCCTGTCTCTACTTAAAATACAAAAATTAGTTGGGCGTGGTGGCACATGCCTGTAGTCCCAGCTACTTCGGAGGCTGAGGCAGGAGAATTGCTTTAATCCAGTAGGTGGAGGTTGCAGTGAGCCGAGATGGCACCACTGCACTCCAGCCTGGGCAACGATGAGACTTGGCCTTAAAAAAAAACGGAAGAGAGAAATATATTTTCTCACAGCTCTGGAGGCTAGAAGTAAATGTCAAGGTGTTGGCAGGATTAGTTTCTCCTGATGCTTGCAGTCCTTGGCTTGCAGAGGGCTGCCTGCTTGCTGTGTTGTGGCCTTTGCTGTGTGCACATGCAACACTGATGTCTCTCTCTGAATGTCTTTTTGCGGGTCAAGATGGCAGAGGGAGACCTATGTTAATTCTAGCTAAATAATTACAAGCTTCCTTGGCTCAGAATACACTGATGTTTATATACCGAACTAAACAATATTTTTACTGGTGCAGTTAATTAGAAATCAAACAGCAACAGGATGCCTAAGGTAAAGACCATCGGAGAGCACAGTAACAACGGGGAACACCTTGGGGTGGCTGCAGAGCAGGCAAGATACTGCTGTGGTCCCACACATGCCTTCTCAACATAGAGACTGCACGAGGGTCTCGTAAAGAGGGCTCAGGCAAAGATCTCTGAGAAGGGAGGCGACCTCTGCCCACAAGATCTGGGAGGGTCGTTGCAGATGGGAGCTGGCAAGGAGGAGAAAAGCCTTGCAGGGCAGAAATCACGGAACATCTCAGGCTCTGCCTAGGTTCTTGGAATATGGAGTGATTTTAATTGCTCTATGTCCTCAATGCTTGGGCGATAAAAGCCCCTTGATGCATTGGGAGTGGTCAGACCGGGTGGCTCCTCATCCGCTATACTTCTGATGCAGCTGCACCCTGATAACAATCGGTGATAAACTCAGAGTACCAGTTTAGAATGTCTTAGAAGGATCTCAAGTGCTCTCCCCCTCCATCTTACCTACCCCTTCACCCTCCCCTTCCATGCCCATAAGAGCAATGAGATTGTGCACATAATAAGAGTGTTTGGAGCCCAGAGCTCAGGGCCAACGCGGTTCCCACGCTTGCGTTGGTCCCCTGGACCCGTGCTGTAACTTTTACTCCTGTGTCTCTGTCTTTATTTCCTTTTCTCAAACCCTCGTCACCACCGGGACTAAGGTCACCAACGTACAGGGTTGGGACTGGTACCCAACATCATTTATTATTTTACTTTTTTTGTTGTTGTTTTGAGACATGATCTCTCTCATCGTCCAAGCTGAAGTGCAATGGCACCATCTCAGCTCACTGCAGCCTCAACCTCCTGAACTCAGGTGATCCTCCCACCTCAGCCTCCCCAGTAGCTGGTACTGTAGTCATGCACCACCACACCAGCCTAATTTTTTTGTAGTTTTAGTAGAGACCAGGCTTCACCATGCTGCCCAGGTTGGTCTTGAACTCTTGGCCTGAAGGAATTCACCCATCTCTGCCTCCCAAAGTGCTAGGATTATAGGCATGAGTCACCAGGCCCGGCCTCTCTGAATGTCTTGATCTCCTCTTATAAAGAAACCAATCAGATTAATTTAGAGCCCACCCTAACGGCCCCGTTTTAACCTAATCATTGTTTTAGAGGCTTATTTCCAAATACAATCACATTCCAAGGTCAGAGTGTCAACACTGAATTTTGGAGAGGATACGATTTGGTCCATAACAATGTATATACATAAAACAAGCGGCAAATGTAAAATATTAGCAACTAGAGAATCTAGGGAAGAGTATACAAGTATTCTTTGAACTTTTACGGTAACCTTTCTGTATGTCTGAAATAATGTAAAAAAATTTTTAAGGGCCGGGCGCGGTGGCTCAAGCCTGTAATCCCAGCACTTTGGGAGGTCAAGGCGGGTGGATCACGAGGTCAAGAGATCGAGACCATCCTGGTCAACATGGTGAAACCCCGTCTCTACTAAAAATACAAAAAGTTAGCTGGGCATGGTGGCACGTGCCCGTAATCCCAGCTACTGAGGAGGCTGAGGCAGGAGAATTGCCTGAACCCAGGAGGCGGAGGTTGCGGTGAGCCGAGATCGCGCCATTGCACCCCAGCCTGGGTAACAAGAGCGAAACTCCGTCTCAAAAAAAAAAAAAAATTTTTTTTTAAAGACCAGTAAGACTTTTGTTTCTTTCTTTCTGT